TTCTCGTATGGGGTAGCAATGAAATATAATAGTTTGACTAGAGGATCGACATGCGTACCTCCTGCTGAACCTGGCCATTTGAGAATATATCTTCCAGTGCGATATCAAACTCGCCCATGTAATCCTTGCCAAACCTATCCTTATCCCAACAGACGCATTCGAGCAGCGGGACTCCAACAATCGGCAGATCAAAGCAGACGTTCCACTCTGGGTTCAGAGTCTTGCTGATTGTCGGGGTGGACTCTCTTGCATGACCTAGCGTGACCACCAGGTACTGGAGAAGCGGGAGGTCAGGTTAGCTGGGGTATTCCAACCAGGGGAGTGGGGGGGGGGGGGGGGATTAGTAAAATTGCCTGTTGGACAGGGATTCACGTACGGGATCACTCATGCCATTCCTATCCTTTGCAGCTAGATTGCGGCCCTAGACGGTTAAAAAGATCAGCACCGGTGTCAGATTAGATATCACAGCCTTACAGCCTGCCCCGGAAGGAGGTAATAAAGAGGTGGTGGTTATCTGAGCCCGGGACGTACGCTGATAACCTGCGTCTTCAAGATCAACGGGTATTTGGTCTCGGAAGTCCCGGTCGAGGAGGCAGAGAGGTCATCTTGAGAAGAGGCAGCGCCAATCTTGGGGGAACGGTTCCCACTGCGCCGGTGAGGAAGCGGTAGGCGGACCATCGTCGGGGCTGAAGGGAGGAGGAGGAGGAGGAGAGAGGCCGGAGTCGAGTTTGAGGTTTTCTGCTCTCTGGGCGGCTGCGGAGGCTACGGGATGGCAGCAGTCGAACGGGGGCCTCTGTCAGCTATGATTGCAAGGTCATAGAGGCTGGTACGAGTCCATTCAGGTATCCAGGCGGCCTGTGACCTGTCGAACGGTTTTTTTTTTTTTGTTTGTGCGGCAGAGGGTGTTTTGTTGGCGGTGGTCGTATAAAGGACAAGGCTCGCCCGGGGGATGCTCGGTCGATGGCGGTGGACGAACTTCACCGACTTCCGCGATCAATTAACGTCGGAAAAGACGGGTGGAGAAGGAGAGGGACATGCATACGACGGGGAAGAGGTGCAGCAGCAGAGAAGAAACAAGGCCGGCGGGCAGGCGTAGGGAGGGAGGTCGAGGTTCTGGATTTTATGTTGCTGTCGATGTTGTTGTTTTCGCGGGAGGATCAAACAAAGTAAGAGAAAAATAAAATAAAACAATCAAATAAAAAAAAAAAAAACAACGCTTCTCCTGCAAACCCCCAAAAGCAAAGAGAGGGCGCCGTGAGCAGGGTCCCTTTTCGGGAATCTTTTTTTTTTTTTTTATTCTATATATAGGCCCTAGTGCTCGTCTGCGAGTTATTCGTCTAGGAGCGCCTGCAGGGAGTGACAAGGCTGGGATCCATTTGCAAGGAGCGCGAAGAGCGAGAAGAGCGCAAGGAGGGAAAAAAGGAGACAAGGAGACGCAGGGAGAGAAGAAAGACGAGGATGAAGACGAAGAGATACGAAGGCGAGAAGTTCTTATTATATTATTGCATATAATTAGCAGCAGCAGCAGCAGCAGCGGGCTCGTTTATCGATAGCTAAATTGCTAACTAGTCAACTAGACACGGGGTGCGGCTGAGCGACACGAAGCGCTTCTCCTGTCCTAACTAGCTGGGTTGAGGGCTTCCCGTCGGGGATCTCAAGGCCGGACACTCTGGGGGGGGGTTCGTAGGGGTTCTTTAGGGGAGTCATAGGGGAGGTTTAGGGGCGGCGATGGGGGGGAGGATGGGGGCGGATAGGGCCAGAGTTCAGTTAAGGCCAGGCGGGCTCCAGTTAAAGGCTCCAGTTAAAGGCTCCAGTTAAAGCCCAGCTAAGGCCCAGTTAAGGCCAGCGACAGCCAGGTAAGGGCCGGGATGCGCCACACCCTCATGACGGACGGTTGACGGCCAGCAGGCGAGCAGAAAGAAAGCCTGTCGGATTCCCAGCAGCAGGCAGCAGACCAGCAGGCAGGACAAGAACGAACCCGGTGTCAATCATCTGCGCTGCACGAGTAACTCTCTGCGCCTCGGACTGATGCCGCCCTCCTGTCTCCTGTCCACTCATGCTATACTCCGTACATCTCTCGACCTCCCTCCCTCCCTCCGTTGACAGACAGACATCAAACGCGAAAACCGCTGCAGCAGACAGCAAAAGCTATCAACGGGGGGAAAGAAAAAGAACTCAAGGCCGTCGTTGGCCGATGCAGCCTGGTCCACTCTGCTCGCTGCCCTGCGTTGAACGATGACTTCACTCATGCCACAAAGCCAACATCATCGGTTGACGCGGTCCTCCAGTTCAGCCCACGGCAAGCCAGCCAGCCAGCCAACCAGTCCCTCCGCCATCCACCATCCGTCGTCCTACGAGCTAAGTGAGGGGAAAAGCCTTTTGCTTCTCCGCAAGATTACGGAGTAACTTGGGTCGGAAAGATTGGAGAGAGAGAAAAGCAAAGGGAGGAGATAACTAGTTTTAGAGAAGGCCGCAAGAGCAAGATAGGGCGAGAAAGATCCCGTTCGTGGGCAAAAGAAACGAAAGAGAGGCCAGTCCAGGTGAGGTGCAGCCGCAGCGTCTCTCCACTCTCATGCATGCTGTATATAGAGGGGGACATCGATGGAGGGGCTCTACTTTGTTTATGGGACGGTCTCTCAAAGCGTATGAAGAGAGAGAGAGAGAGAGAGAGAGAGAGAGAGAGAGAGAGAGAGAGAGAGAGAGGCATAAACTATGCAAGATGTTATAATAATGGATAAAGGGACACTCCAGTCATGTCGACATGGCTGGTCTCTATTGGCAGGGAAACCCCAGACAAGCCACGCCGGAGAAAGACCCTCTGATACGGACGGGCGAAGGGCCAGGCAGGGGGTTGGTTGACGCGGATGGCGAATGGTGCATATCTTGAATTAATTCTCTAGTTTGCGCGTTTCCCACCCCCGGCTCTTTTTGAGATGGATATCGCTTTCTTGTTCCTTGGACCGGGTTCAATAACTAACTAGGTCATCGGGCCACCGCTTAGTCGTTCGTTAGTATAAGTTAAATACTCAAAAAAATCACTACGGCTTGAGGCTGGAGATATCTCGGGAGAAGGTCGATGCCAGATCTACATCAAAAATAAACAGAAAGGAAAGAGGGGAGAAGATCATTTTGGGGGGATCTCAAGGATACCATGGGATATCGTTTTTATATCTTTCAATGGGAAATGCTGTTTATATTAAGCAGTGCAAGTGGCTAACCAGATGCCAGATTTATATAACTATGTATACCAATTCATACATAGAAAAGGCTCACTTGGACTATGAAAAACAATTCCCCCAAGTCAGCCAACATGTCTCTCTTGCAACAGAAAAGATCATGGGCAGCAGCTTACCTGGTTTCCGATGTTTCCTGGGGATCATCGATCACCAACCTACTTCTTCTCCTCGGTTGGCTTCTCCTCGCCCTTCTGCTCAGACTTGGTGGCGCCCAAGAAGGCAGTCTGGGCAGTATCGATGCCTGTTATGATAAGAATCAGTCATTGAACGGTCTCCTCAGTGCTGGCTAGCTGTGGTCTAGCTATCTCACCCTTGTTGATGTTGTCGTTGGCGCCCTCGCCAGCCTTGAGGAACTGCTTCTGACCAGCATCGATGCCTGCAACAACACATCCCCATTAGAATACGCCTATTCAAAGCCACTAGCAGGAGAAGAACAGCGTACCCTTGTTGATCATATCGTTCTGGCTGCTGCCGCTGCCCTCCTTGCTGCCGCCACCGGTCATCTTGTTGACGAAATCCATTGTGATTGGAAGCGTGTAGTTAACGACGTGTAAGGTCTTTTAAATGGTAAGGGTAAGATGCGAATATCTAACAGCACCAATGGCAAGGTTAGCTAGCTCTGCAAGTCCGACAGCTGGATCAGGGGCAAGGTTGAACACAACCACTCACCGAAGCAGATGAATTTATCTTGATTGTGAAAGATTTCCAGCTCAGGGAGGGGGGAGGAAAGGGGCCCAGCACCAGCTTAAATACTTCAGCAAAACCCACCACGATGGAACCGAGCAGATTACTTAGTTATGCTAATCTCCCACCGAGCTGCCTAGTTTACGGAGTAAGTACCGTCACATAACTTCCCTTCTCACGATCAGGGCATCCCTTCGGGCCATCCGGTAGGAAGGGGGAGGGGCAAGCTCGCAGTACCCCCGTATACCCAGCAACATACTTCCATAGCGTACCATATAACTGGCTTACAGAGGGGTGAAGATGCCGTCAAGCCATCGCCACCGGCAGCACGCAGAGCCTCGATTCGATCGATTGAACACATGCATATCCCTTCCTTCTGATTCCTCCCGTCTCCCTGCAGCAAGCCACAGGCGTTATGTACATGGGCATGGGCATGGGTGTGTTCTTTTCCTCGCTTCCCGCTGCTGGCCGGTAGTTCGACAAAATGTACATACAGTGCGTCCGTCCCTTCGCTGCCCCTCTCTGCCCCTCGTCGGGTCGCAGTCGCATGATAGATCAGCGTGGGGACCAAGTGGCTCAGCAGCGCTGTGATGGCCTTCGTCACTGGCTGGTTGGGGAGGGCTGGTTGGGCTTGTTGCTTCGCCAGCGGGCCCTTGAGTGGGAGATGAAACCATTCAGCGATGCAGACGAGGCTGCGATCGACGGGCAGCGCTCCAGACTCTGCGCCATCAGCGCCGTGGCTTGACGTCATCTGTGGCCCGCTGGTGGATGGGGATTCAGAACATGAATAGCAACCACCAAGGTATGGCGGGATGCAGCGAGCGCATATTTGTATAGGAGGGGGTAGGAGGGGGGGGGGGGGGGGAAAGGCAAGTGTATTCCGTATACATATTTGACATTCAAGGATGGATGGAGGTTGGGTATATTATTCATTATCGTATTAATCCTATCTTTCCCATAACAATGTATGTGCAAGCTCCGAAAAAATAACCCACGCTGTGTATATGTAAATTATGGAAAACCCTAACTATTGAAGGCAAAAGTGCAAAGAAAAGAGGACCAGAACCGTCGTCGAAACACCAAACACATATCAAAAGCTGAAGAGCTCGCTTCTCCTTTTTCCCTCGGGGTAAATAATCAACGCTGCAAGAAATAGCCCAACCGTTGTGGAAATGCTCACTTGAATCATCGCATATGCTAAATCAAAAACAACATCACCGTACACTTTGTTCGTTCCAATCCGAGCTGCTAGATCCTGGAAAGCTGGATCACCAGGGTAGCCAGACCCACCAGGATGGCCGGCCAGAGCAGATGCTATTGCTGTCGTGGCTGCGGAGGTTGCACTTGCTATCGTTGAACTTGCAGTGCTCATCGTCTGGTTAGCAGCTGTCTGCTGGCCTGCTGAGTTGGCCTGGTTGGCAAACGCAAGACCTGAGACCAGAGATCCGCTTGCTGCCAATCCGGAGGGCACCTGGACCAGTATTCCTGGAAGCATGGCCGCGGCAGCCAGGCCGTGGCCAAGTCGACTGTAGAGATTGCCCATGATCCCGATGGCAAAGGCGCCCATGCAGTTCGCTATCTGTAGGTTATGCGGGAACGCCTTGCTGGTAAAGAAGTTCACCAGATAGCCGATAAAGGAGAAGATAGCCATGACAGGCACTTGCTTCCATTTCGCTTGGTTAATCAGCGTCAGACAGATGGTGAATGCTATCACGGACGGGAAATTATGGGCATATTCGTTTCGGTTGGGGCTGGTAGGGCAGATATACGCTGAACTAGCGTTGTGGTCGATTTTGCCGTAAAAGGTCGTGCCCAGCATCATTCCAAAACCAAGTACAAGGGAGTAAATAATCGCATAAACCAGTCGTACCGAGCCGGCGAGGATATTTTGCGACTGTAGCTCGAGACTGCTGCACAGGACCATGAAGCCTGGTAGTATAAGGGCGATAGAGGACTGTGCGAGCGCGGGAAAACAGAAGAGACGATCATCACCCGGGCCATGTCGGATGCTTCCAATGGCACGAGAGAGGAACGAGAGGAGCAAGGCGGCAGTGAGCTCGAAGATATTGGCATATAGACGAGAGCGTGGAACGGCAATGTACTTGAGCGCTCCCAGTATACAGCCGAGGGCAAAGGAGACCGGGAGATCAATCACACGGCCAGTGAACGCAAAGGGCCCAACAGCAGCACTGGCAAGCCCAAACAGAAATATCAATGTCAATACATTGTATCTTGGTTTCTCAGTCTTGACTTCTTCCAGGAGCTGCATTGCTTCCTCAACGCCAATCATATCGTGCACCACGTCTTTGTATATCTGATGGACATCTTGTAGCTTGCCCAAGTCAACACCTTGGTCGCAACGCTGCAGTTTCAAACTGGTAGTGTGTGTGGATGAATCATTGAATGAAACGAACATGCAACCAGGGAGATATAGGAACTGGGCATCAAGCTCAAGCACACGAGACGTCATTCTTAGGCACTCCTCGAGACGATGGGTTGGTGCCCCATAGGCCATCAAGGCCTCGCATAGCTTCTCAAGGTACCGTTGTCGAGAAATGGTCTCCGCAATATGCACTGTGAGACGAATTTCATCTTCTAGACGTGGTTTGTTGCATATCTTCTTGACTGCATTGACCATCAAGCCGCTGCTTCGAGATCGTTTAAGCTCTGGCCGTCCTGCGGATCCAGCGCCTGAACCACCTCCGGTCAAAGTGGCTTCCGAGCCGAGAGTGTTAAGTGACAGTGCGGAAGGATTTTTGTTTTTCTCATACCATTTCGGCCGGGGGGTAGATTTCCCCGGTGTTGTTTTTCCCGAGGTGGGAGCACTATGGGGTGCAAGGAGAGGAGAGGCATTGGCTTGCGGCGTTGGAACCTGCTGCTGAGATGTACGGTTTGCTTCTGCCTCGTGAAGTTGGCCCAATCGAAGAATATCTGTCAGAATACTTCGCCCATGCTGTACAGGTGGTGACTGGGAACCGCTGGACTGTGTATCGATAGAATAATGCCGCCTGTCCTTGGGTTCCGCTTTGGCGCGAATATTCTTCACAATTTCGCTGGCTTCCTCAGCACGAAGTGTGAACTGCCGTTCTCGGTCGTGCTCATGCTCATAGGCTGCTTTAGATCCAGTCCTCGACCGTCTCAAATAATGCCGTCCTTCATGACGGGGCTCAATTAGATCCTGCGATAACGATTCCTCATCGGACCTCCGGCGACGATGGAAATATGATGCTCTTCGAACCTGTGAAGCGAGACTTTGAGCCTTCTCGTAAGCTGTCTGGATTGCCCTGTTTTTGGTTTTTGAAGATTCTGTTGACTGGGCTTCTGATATTGAGTCCGGAGGCCTCCCAGGGCTGCCAAGGGGGGTCACAATAGGGCTTGCTCCCGGGGAGGATTGTGCAGAGAGTGAATCCCGAGTATTGTACATGGGGAGGAAGTCAGAGGACTTAAATGTAGGAAGGGACGGCCGGTGGACAAACGCAGGCACCTGAGGCTCAGAGGGAGGAGAATTATCCATATAATCTCGCAGAGGGATGTCTTCCGGACTCGCGTCCGATCCATCCGACCCAAGAGTAAATTGAACTCGATGGGAAGGTCGTCCTCTGGTCTCACTGCTGTCACTTGTGTTGCTCATATCTCTGACATGGATTGCAGGGCCCAGTCGGGGTGAGGTTTTTGGCGAAGGCTCCTGCTGTGGCCGCCGTTCTGAATTAGGGGCAGCATAGTTGCTCGATGTAAATGGATTGGAGTTGGGGAAGTGTTTTGGCTGGCGAGGCCAGTCTGCCATAATCGGCAAGAGTAGTTAAGAATAGAACTGCAGCACAGTGAGGAAGAGTTGTGAAGTCTCAACCACACAGTAGCAGAAAAAAAACGAGATAATCAGCTGCGGTAGTGTTAAACATTTAGTCTGTGTGTCTTATCAGGTTGATTCGGGTATATGTTGAGGAGAAGTGTGTGCGAGAATCAAAATAAATAATGAGCAGAAGAGGCAGAAACTGAAAACTCGATCAGCAGGATAGCAGCTGTCCTGTCTATCAGTCACTGCCATCGGTCTAGATGGCGTTCCATGTACCCGTTCGCCACAACCGTCGCAAGGAGCAGTTATAGATGGACAAACGGGCTTGTAGCGCAAAGAGTTTGAAAAGGAAAAGAAAAGAGAAAAAAAGAAATACCGCTTAGCATGCAGTGGGGCCGCGCAGACAAGTGAATCCCAGGAATGGGATTACAAGCGCACCAAAGCACTCACCAGTAGCCGTGTGATAAGGCCGTTATAGTAGGTCCAAGCTGATAAGGGTCAAATGCGGTATCTCCGGTCGACCCGGGCGGGTCATACAATTCTAGTTACCAGAGCTGAATGGTTGCACACCGATTGTATCGGGCCCTGGAAGCTTGCGTGGAAGACCCTGCGCATTGGCCAACATTGATAGATCAGCAAATCCGACGATTCGCCCCAGCGGTGGCAGGGATTTGATATCATAATATATGATAACAGAGCTTCGTACCTTGAGGATTCCAAGGAAGCTGACATACACCGGGAATTGACTGGATTAAAACCGTCCCGCGGCTAGATGGCGAATTCCCTGCCACACATTTCCACACGGGGTCATAAATGGAGCTTTTCTCCGTAGCTATAGATATCAGTTCCACCGAAGCAGAGACTTTCGCTCCACTGATTAGTCTTGATGCCCAAGCTCTTTGAGACTCTAAGTCCCTTATCTCGCATCCTGCGCGCGTTAAGAAAAAAAATTTTTTTTTCTTAGGACAACCCAACAAATATAGCACGGAGTACAAATATAGCTCCTGCACAGCTGTGTGCGGTGGCAACGGGGGGGGTGAGGGTCTGACTTTCGGCAGTTCAGACGAAGGTTAGTTTTGGACGACGGATCCACGGGTTCCATTCATACTGTAGATCTGGACCATCTCCTAGAACACAGTTAGTCACGACATCCTTATCGCAAGTCACCCTGAACATCACACAATAAAAGGGGCTGATCGCTGCCAGTCAGCGAATTTTTCAGCCAGCTGCCCGGACTGAAGCTGGCCAACAGCCCGATGCAGACAAGAATCCGACGATAGATGAAGTTGAAATTGAAGTTTGGCGAAGCGCAAAACAAGCGACGCATGGAAGAAGTAAGCGCCGGGTTCTAGAATCTTGGCATGTGGATTACATAAACAGGTACAAACAAACCGCATTAAGCGAGACCCTTTTTTTCCCCTTTTTGATATCTAGACATATCTCGAACCTTATGGATACGATCTTCGGGAGGGTGCATAACAGCGTCTCGGCCGCTCCGGCCTGTGGGAAGCTGGCGTAACCAGTCTCCAGAACAGGTGTGGCGGATGACTCACAGGAACAAGCTATGGCCAGCCTGGAAGAAAAGAAGCTCGTGGCATGATTCAACCTGTCCTACATGAGCCCAAGGAAATATAAAATATCAGCAGCTTATGATGCGCATGCAAGCAAATATGGAGTATTTATCCAATATCTTGGGTAACAGAGATGTAACGGGGGTGGGACCTGACCATCAAGCTGTTGTGCAAACGCCAATCCCCTGCTCCGGTTCCCACACCAGCTCCTGATACATCAAACGAGCCTAGGAAGCTCCATTGCGAAGATCATGGGGATATATTATGCATGGTCATCCAAGGCTAGTATTAAACTGTCAAGGTCAAGCCTCTTGTTCTCAGCTGTAGCTGTCTCTTGGGATCAAAGTGCATGAGTTAGAAGGTACGTTAACATGTAACTTAGTCCTGTTGGGAATACTTGCTTCTGTATCCAGTCACATCCTCGTCCACCTGATGCACGCATAGCCCTATATCCACCTCAATGTTGCTGTTACTTGCAAAACTTCCATATCGTTTGCCAAAATCCAAGGCCCCTGGTTACTACAAGCAGACAATCATTGCAGCGGTGGCAGCAAGGGTGCCATTTGGATCTTTAACGCAAACGGTCTTCAAGCCAAGCTGCCTATCTCGGTAATCATTCTCCGTGGAAATATGGCATCATCATATGATCAAGAGGTGTGTTGCCTGCTTCGCTGAACTTTTTCAGCCCGTATACCTTGTCGACCCCTTTCCGGGTAACGGCAATGGGAGTTGCGCCCTCCCTCCCTCCATGTTGATTGAAACGTCACGGAGGCGCTTCCGTAAATCCGCCTGAATTACTTCTCGCTTGCCAAAATCGGGATCCCGGATTTCTTTAGCACGGATGGTGCTTCTTGTCCTAAGTGCCTAGATGGCGATCCAGCTACCACGGTACCCGATGCAGTTTCCCCAAGCCTGCTCTGCATTAAACCCAGTTGCTTCTAAGGCTTGATCGAAAGCAGTTTAGAATCAGCTTCTTAGTTTCATCATCAAAGAGTCCAGCATATATTGCTTTCTGTTCTCCGCCTTAGTGTTTAGAAAACTTCATGCCGGTCGCGGGTATCAGGCAGAGTTTTGATAGGTGGCTCGTGGTGGAAGACGGCTAGCGACCTGCTTCTGAAACCAAAGCCAGTCACCCCCAGAAATAACTGCGACATGTTCCACTGCGAGTAGCTTGCGAGTGTCTCTCCCATGGGGTCCAGCAATGGCTATTGTCTGAGGGCAAGGTAGCGTCAAGATCGAAGCCAACGAGAGAAATCATGCTAGTAGTACGTAATGAGTTCGTCGTTTATATACTCCGTATACAAATCTCGCAGAATACAAGGGTTTTTTCCTCCTAAATTAGGCCAACAGTGAAAATAGGTCAGTTATGTCGATAGGACGGGTTGAGGTCGTAGGTTGCGGGGAGAACCCTATTTGACTAAGCTTCGAGGGATCGGGATGAGGCTCAAGTAACTTTACTCTAGGGATTAATCTCCTCGCCGTGCCTCGAGTTCAAATCTCGGAGGAATCGAATATCAGGTTAAACAGATATACAGGCCGTCAGGTCGGCCAAGCTGAGTGTACTCCCTGGAGCGGCTATCCGCCTGCCACATGGTACACTGTACTCCTGTGCAACGACCACGGCTAGCTACCTTCCCCAAATACTCGGTCTGGATTAGTACTGTAGGATGAAATACGAATGTACGGCAAGTCAACACAATGCTATCTTGATTTCTTTAATTCATTAAAAACAATTTCATCTCATCCAAACCACTTCCTGCCATACCATACCATCATTCCATCCTGCCAGCTTAGCTTTTGCTCAACGCTCCGCTGACAAAAGAAAAGCGAAACCAGATCAAAATGACAACTTTGACTGATGAAAGAATGGACAAGCAAGAGATCAACTCGCTCAAAATCATGCGCAGAGGCACAGATGGGAAAGGCCGAGGGAGGTAGGCAGGCATAGGAACATAAAAGTATCAGAAACGAATGCAGAGAAGCGAACAAGGAGACAAGGGATTATTCCCAGTTAGAAAGCAAAGGCAGTAAATCAAGATACCAGTTTAGCGGTGGCTAAAGTTGCTTGCACGCACGCTTATAACCATATTGGCTAATAAATCACGCACCCTAAACGGAGACGAAATAGAAAAGATGAATAAACAGATAATAATTGCGTCCCATGTCATATGCGCCGAATATATTTTGAAAAGAGCTTCTCCACGCCAGATACCAGGGCTGAGGAGGGTTACATAACAGTGCTCTTTCTTTTCTCCGCGTTGGACAGAACCATGATTGGCATCTTCCTGCGACCGGCATCGAGCTCCCCGGCTCCATTATTCGTGGGGCCAGCAACCTGCTTCCTTTCTGATCCAATGGCTCCATTGGCAGCAGCACGCAGGCTTCCTAGGCTTCGTCGGCCAGAGAGGGAGGAGCTGCTATCAGCATCACCATCGGATGGCGAGAAGGAAAATTCACCCTCACCCTCATGCTCGTTTCCATGTTCACTGGAAGGAGTCACGCTGCCTGTGCTGTGGGAGTTGCCGTTGGATGTAGATGTGGAAGTGTTCCGCTCTAGTCTAGCACGCACAAGGCTGTGTACGGCCCTACGGCGTTGGCGAGTGGCAAAGTTCTTGCTTCCCTCATGCTTCGTCGTGGGCTTGGCAACGAGTTCCTCAAGCGGTGGTGGTCCACGGGGCTGACGAATTGCATGCTCTCCAGCACGGTTTTGACCAGGTCCAAAGGTACCAGGTCCTGCAGAAGCAGGGGTCTGTGGGAACATTGCTGACTTAGGCGTAGAAGCGCCATTGTTACCAGATCGAGTGGTTTCGTTGATAAGCTTGACGGCCAAAGACAGCGACTTCTTGTGGTCACGCTTGATACCAGGTGCCGGAGACTGAAGAGGAGGGGATTGACGGGCTTGCTGCTGGGGCTGCACTTGAGACTGAGCCTCACGAGGCGGTGTCGGGTTGCGGGTAGATGGGGTCGAAGAGTGATTGCGGACGGGAGACTGACGTGATTCCGTTGGAGGTGGAGAGACACGGGCGGAAGTGCGGAACATCGAGGGCGTGTTTCCGTTCGTGTGACCATTCGAGTTGCCATTAGTGTGTGCATGGAAGCCACCGTTGCTTGCGTGAGACTCCACTGGAGAGCGAATCTGGTCTTCGTAAGTCGACGTAGTTGGTGCGGCAGACAGCGGCACCTCATCGTAGACGCTATTGTCTACCACGTAGCTCTGCTGTCCAGTCATTGGATTGTACACTGAGAACACGCCGGGCTTTCCGGGTACAGGGTGCACAACGGGCTGCATTCCATGCTGGGCCTGCTGTTGATAGAATCCCATGGTAGGAAGCGGGGAGAAGAGCTGCTGTTGTTGCTGCTGAAGAGCCTGTGCATGGGTGGAATGCATAGGAGTTCCGATGTGAAGAGCCTGGAACTGTTGAGCAGCAGCAGTAACGCTGGCTAGCTGCTGTTGAAGACGCTGTTGCTGAGCGGCGAGGTACAAATTGGTAGAGACTAGCTCTGCATATAGGGCCTCATCCATGGGCTCACCATTTTCTTCAAGAATATGATCGAGAGCCGGGGGAGCTAGGACATGTTCGGGAAGAGAGTACATCTGCCCATATGTCTGAGCAGCGTTTCCGCTGCTGTAAGACTTTGAATGGTTAAACGACACCCCCGTAGCAGTTTGGGGAACTCCACCGAGGTACGCGTTGGAGTGGCCACCGTAATTTTGCATCCCACCAAAGCCATTCTGATGAGGATGTTCCTGCATCAGTGGAGCGGTAGATGGAGTGGTAGGTTGCTTGGGGGCAGTCCTCAACCCAGCAAGCAGGTGAGAACGGCTCGTACGTGGAGTTGAAATGGATCCGTGAGCATCATCTCGCTGATCGAGTTTAGATGGGTGTGGAACGCTGAGTCGTTTGATATGAGAACCTTTACCCCGAGAAGCAAATCCAGATCCGGGAACGCCGAGAGAAGAGGTGTTGAGGGACATGTTGTTGTAAGTCATTTGAGCAAGACCGCCAGTGTCCATGCTCGTAGTCATCAAAGATTCGAGAGGTGATAAAAGAAGCAAATCAGATATCAAATATTTTTTTTAGTTCGTATATGCACCAGTGCCTTGCAAGAGATCGATCGGGTGACGAGGTTGGTGGTGTGAAGAGAAAAAGATTAGACCGAGAATTAAGTAACGAGATGTGCCGGGTAGGTCCGACAAGTCGCAAGGTTCAAGGTAGATGTCACGATTAGGCGATTAAGGTGTATGTAATGAAGGGTCCGTTACGAGTTCCGGCTATGTGGGCTGTTAGCGATTGGTCAAGATGCATCAACAGAGCAGTGAGAACTCACCAGAGCCAAAAAGAGGTAAGATAAAAAGGAGATAGAATGAGAAAATGAAGGGTAATGGAACCAAATTAGGAGGGAAGAAAAAATTTACAGGTGAATCAACGCGGCCGTAGGTTCAATTTGTCGCTGAAAGGAGGACGAAAGACCGAAGTTCGTGACGACGAGGATGCTCTGCAAGCCTCGCGTGAGCTTTAGACCGAAGGGTGTGAGAACACGAGGTCGAAAAACGAGTACAGCGTGTACCAGAAGGGAATACAGGCAGTAAGGACCAAATGAACGCAGAACACAAGCAAGTAAACAGATGCAGATGCAAGTAAACACAAGAGGACGAGCAGAGAAAGACGGAGTATCCGGATGCGTTTCAACCGACAGAGCTTACTATCGACTTTCAAAGGACGAGGATCGACGAATGTTGAATATAACGATGCTGGACGCTATGGGTGTTGGACGTTGGCAATGTTTTCCCGGTGCAGGATCTCGAAAGAGCGGGCGAAACAACCGAGGAAAAAGCAAAGAAAGCAACCAAAAACAGGGCTACAGCGTAGCAAGCAGGGTCTACCGGGGACACGAAAGTCGGTTTTGAAGGAAAACGGGCCTGTCTTTTGTTCAACGGTACAGGGTACGCGCGAAAACGTCTGCTGTGGTCCAAGAAAAGAAAAGAAAAAGATAAAAGATATGAAAGCGGTCGGAGGAGGGTGAAAGTATTATCTGGGAGGTGGTTTTGCGGTGGTGAAGGTGATGGAGCGAGATGACTCGCACACGACAGCGGTTGACGTGGGCGTGGCGGTCGTCGCTGGAGCGTTGGTCGTCCGGCTAGCAGAGCAGGCGAAAAGGAACGAAGAGAAGTTGTCTTTTTTTCTTTTTGAACGCAGAGATGCACGAGAGAGCGAGAGCGAGAGAGGAACAGAGAGAGAGAAGAGAGAAGAGAGAGAGAAAGAACAAGAAGTGAGGATGAGGATGAGGATGAGGATGGAAGATGGAGGATGAAGAAGAAGAAGAAGAGAGGAAGAAGAGAAGTTGAAGAAGCGAAGTTGAAGTCGAGGCGGACGAAGAAGAAAGTTGCAGTTTTGGCTCAAAAGGGGAAAAAGGCAAAAAGAGACGCGCGCTAAGCTGCTTTTGGACTAGCGCGCGCGAGAAACCGCAGTTTAGCGCCGGGCTTGGGGCCAATCAGAGGAAGGGAAGGCCTTGCGATATAAAGTTGATATCACGCGGGAACAAAGGAAGCGGCGGCGATGGTAGGGGAGAGTTAGGAGAGAGTTAGGAGAGAGAAGGAGTGTGCAGTGAGACGATGAGGTTGGTGGGTTGGTTGGAGATGGGGTAGGGGCGGCTCTGGGGTTAGCGGTAAGCCGGGGCCACTACGGGGGATGGCATAGAAGGTACTCATCAACGGTAGGTTCATTCAGTAGTAAGTTGCATAGTAGTATGAGAAATACATGTCAGGATATAGGGACGGGCTGCCAGACCGACGGGCAGATGGATACCTCCAGCCTATGAGACACAAGAAAGTAAAAGGTACATTGTTACCCCTGGTTTCAAGACCGGAGTAAAGAAAAACAAAACCAATCGAGGGGATATGCAGCCGCCATAACCAGGACCATGACCCCAACCGCAAGCGCCAACCGGGTGAGACAATTGAAACAAACGAGCATTAAACGAGGAAAAGGTAACAAAAACAAAAAGATGTAACACCTAGCCCTATATGCAAGAAAGATGGGGAAAAGAAAAAAAAAAAAAATCAGGAAGCTACCGAGTTAGCGTCGACAGCATGGTCGTTGTCTAGCCCGTTCGTTGTCTCGTTGGCATTATTGTTGCCGCCACCGCCGATACTGTCATGGCCATTCCGACTGACGCTTCGACTTCTTGTACCAGGAGATTCTGGGTCCGGCTCACAAGTAGCCATTAGTTGTCCGGCCGTGCTTGGAGCAGGACCAGATCTCTTCTCGTTGGCGCGGTCAAATTCAAGGGCATCTGCCAGCTCGCTGCTCATTGGGTCGAGTTCCTCCTCCGCCAGACCGGTGGCTAGTGACACCAGCTTCCGATGCACGTCCAGCTTAGTGCTCACGCCGGCGTCTGCTCTTTGGCGGATGAGTTGGGCCACTGCGTCGTCCCGGTCGGCTTGTGCTTGAGCCAGTTCGTTGGCGAGCGTGTAAAGTTCTAACATTTCCTCTGGTGCTAATTCATGGTTTGCATCTGAGTCACCTGCGTCTTCGGTGATACCGTTTGATTCATATAACGAAGTAAGTTCTAGGTCGTGTGTCTGGTTCAGTAATGACTCGTACTTGGCTTTTATCTCGTTGAAACGTGCTAGCTGGGCATCAAGGTCTTCGCTTTCTTCTTCCTTAGCTTGCAAGGCTTCTATTTGACTTCGGATGTTCTCTCGGTCGGATTCTAGTTGCTCGTACAGGCCCTTGGGGTTGGTCATGTCCTCTCCGCTGCCTGTACCGGTACTGCTGCTGTGTGGAGGTGTCTTGGCCTCTCCGTACGCGCGGGCAAGGCGCCTATTAGCTTCAGCCATTATAGATCCAATTCGAACGAGTAACGCGTTGGTTGCCTCTGTCGCAACGGCTGACCCAGTGTAGTTACCCGCCGTGGGTGTAGTGGCAGCAAAGTCAGCATCACCGTCCATATCTTGAGCGTACGTGACGGAAGAAGGCGGTGGGGGGTTCTCCTTCCGCCGCTTGTATAGAGCCATCAGCACCTCGTTGGCTGTCTCGTGGTGTCTGTTCTGCAAGTCGCCTGCTTCGGGGCATTGTGCCAGGAGAGTCGTCGCAAGCCTGTAGCATCCGTTCTTCGCAGCAGTCAGGGCGGCCGTATCCCCATTCGCGTCCTGCGACGAAAGGAGTAACAAGATCTCGTGCCTGGGAAACACTTGAGAAAGCTTATCGATCAGGGTCTGGCAGTAATACCGAGAGCTCTTCCATTTGCCTTTACTCCGTGTTGTTGCGGCGAGATGGTTAAAGACGGTTGCGCCAAACCAGTCACGGAACGTTATAGTGCTGTGTAGCAGGTCCGCCAGCTCTCCCATCGTGCGCTTCTCATAGTTATTTGTGAACAAGACAGCCCGGACAAGTGGTGTTTCGTCGTGCTTGGATCGAACACGCACATCGGCACCTCGGCTGATGAGATCCTTGACGATATCAATATCACCCATAGCGCAGGCCCAGTGGAGTGCAGTGTTACCCTGGTCATCGATCGGCCGGTCCACTTGAAAGTGCGTAGGTGGCACGGGTGGAAGCACACGAGAGGCACTTGGGTCGTCGCCAACAGTCATGAAATAGTCCAGCAATTGGTCTCCATATAGGATGTGGTTCTGTTCTATGATGCTCATGGCGACATCATTGTCACCCCTCTTTCGCTTGCGAGACTGCGTTGATTCGGGAGACATCTGAGCCAGGTCCTCATCCGCTATGAGGGAAGAGGCCTCGGGGCTTCCCTGCATTATCGACGAGGTCTCATTGAAGGACTGGCTGACGCCATACTGCTGGTGCTGGTGCTGGTGCTGCTGTGGTTCCTGGTTAAAACTAGCCGGTGCCGAGTTGGCAGGTGGTGCAGCAGGTGGTACGGGAGGCATATGGTGGCCGACAGCTGAAAAGGAGCCACGAGTCGAACCGGCCGCGCCACGACGGCTACCAGCACCTCCACCCCGTGTTCTTGGTTTGGATGCTGCAGCGGAATGTTTTGGTGCCGGAGGAGGGCTGGTGTCGCCGGTCATGAAGTCGAACAGGGGCCGTAGCTTGTCCAGGACATTGTTCTTGTCCGCCAGAGCTCGAGCTTCGGCCAGAGGTATCCATGTTCCTGCAGTATGTCAGTACAGGGAGTACAGCAGGATCTTCCAACAGCAAGCAAGGGGGGCGAGAGTGACCTTGATATTTCCCGTAGCCACCCTGGATCTTCTCGTGGACTCCGCGCTGGACATCACGCTCGAGGATACGAGTTCTTGACGGCTTGTCCAGGCCGGCAGCTTTCAGAATATGAGTCGCGTTAACCCAGTCGTCCACCCGCCGTCTCATCACATTCTCAGTTCCCAACTTGTATTCGTAGACCGGGACCTATAACACACAGACAGCCAGTCAGTCTTGAAGTGTCCATACAGGCCAAAGGAACAGTGAGGGGAGGGGGAAGAGAAGGAAGAGAAGCAAGAGAAGAAACCGACATTGCTGTACGTAGCAGAGTAGATGTGCCCTTCATTGCCGGCTGAAGAGGCCATCGCAGCCTATCGTCCTTCCGCAGGCCGCCGCAGTCGCAAGTCCAAAGAGCCTAAGACGGCGGGTATTTAACCGTTGCAGAGGCGCAGAAGGTGTAGGCCAGTCTTAGTAGGCAAGGCAGGCAGTGTGTGGTCGCAGGTCTTAGACAATACCGCTTGTCGCTGGCATGCTGCAGGCTTCCCGGAGTAACTAGAGGCTGCTGCACCTGTCCACCTCAGCCCGGCCGTCCGATCCCAGCGCTCGCTCTGAGTGTCGTTAGCAAATTCCAATTAAGATAATTAACGTCTCGTCGCGTTTGGAAGAAGAAAAAAAGGCGCCGGCAGCGAAGAAGACGAGCAAGACGCGACGGCGTTCCGGGAGGTTGAGGCCGGAAGAACCTTTGGCCGCGAACTTGCAGCCGACGGGACCTCAAGACAGAAGACGATGGAAGACGACGAAAGAGGACGAAGAGGAAGAAGAGAAGAGACACCGCGGGACGATCCATTGAGCCTGTTGCATCGCAGAATCATATACAGTACAGCAGAGAACCATGACGGCCGCAGAGTCAGCGAAGGTGGCGGACGCCAGACGTGAGTTCCCACGGTGAAGAAGCTGCGGATGAAGGAGAAGACGCTGACAGAGAGGACAGTGGCTACGCGGGAAGAGATGTCCAATGCTCGTCTTCCAATCGCCTACAGAGACAGCTGCGCACACCTGTTGATACCGCTGAACCGATGCCGATATGAGGAGTACTATCTCCCGTGGAAGTGCGAGGTAGACCAGACACACACACACACACACACACACACACACACCCATTGTCCATTGTCCATTGTCCAATGTGAAGGCGAGGAGAGATGCTGACGACTACGACAGAACGAACGACACAGCTACGAGAAATGCCAGTACGAGGAGTTCAAGAAGCGAGTAGCGAAGATGGACGAGCTGCGGGCGGCCAAGGGAGGTGCACGAAGCAACTAGACAGTCCAGCCCAGTCGATGAGATGAGCTGCGGCGGCTCTGTACGATCATAGAGAAAAGCGAGACGCAGAAAGAAACGGAGACGGAGAGTGCGGAAGCAGTGTGTATTACTCGATGTTAATCTTTTTTTCTTCTTTCCCCTGGGACTGCCGGCATGATAGACGCAGTTCCTCTCTATCCAATCTATCAGAAAATATCAGAGATATCAAAAGAAAGACGTCCCATAAGCCTCCAACCCCGGGAATCCCATATCAAGCCCGCCCAAGCAACCATCCACGCTGGCCCTGGAGACGCACCACGCACAGAAGCAAAAAGAAGCCAGAACAAGACCATGCAAGATAAGCTAAATAAAGCACGGCTGAGGAGATGCTGATAAATCAAAAGCCAGACGAAGGCTGTCCGTCGGGCTGACGGCTCGCGGAAGCTATCTTTTTCACCCGCCTGTAGTCCGCTACCCATCCTTGCCGCGGATATTTGACAGTAAACTTGCAGTACCGGCGTAGATGTTCGTTTATAACGGTCGGTAAGCGCCTGAGTGAAGGTACAAGATGGCCAGGCGGGAGCAGGACGAGACGTAAGATGCTATCTCAGGGGACTCTCTCGGCTCAGGGCTCTCACTGCCTACCATATCACATACTTATGCACAGAGAGGAGAGGCCTCCCTTGTGCCAGGCCCATCCCTTGCCTCCAGGGTTAGTTATTGATCTCTAAGCATCCCCGAGGGCCTGCAAAGGTTCGTCCGTCGACCAGGATGAGGAAGAAGGCCTTCTGCTGATGGAATCATCATATAAAACGTCCCTACCAACCCCTACGCCCTCCCCATGCCTCTGCTCCTTCGCCATCGTCATCTCCTTTCTTCTTCGCCTTGTCCTTCATCTTCTTCTTCTTCGTCTTCGTCTTCTTCGCCTTCGCCTTTTTACGTCCGAGAAAATAACCGCGCTTATTAATCCATCCGGCCAAACAAGAGCGAAGTATAAGTTCGGCCGCCGGCGCAACAGGAACGATAACTATCCCCCCCTCGTGTTGTACGCTCTATATTTTACCAGATAAATCATTTATATTCACTGTTATGTCTGCGATGTCTTCTCCCTGAGCACTGCTGCACGACCGGTTGACATCCTCGCCGCTATGGGTTTACTGTACGGGCCGCTTCATCTTTCCTCCCCATTCTTCCGTAAAAATGATCTGCTAATTGACAATCGGACTGGCAGCGCGCTTGGCACACCACTGGCATGGCCGGAAGCAAAGGAGAGAGCCGGCCAGGTGAGGGAATGGGGTATCGAGGTATTGCCCTCCGTCTTGTCCGCTTCGCTTCTGCCTCTCTGCGTCGTGCAGGTGCAGGAAGAAAACGACTCTCTCGCTCGAAAGTTGCGGCTTTAGTCTGATGTTTTGTGCCGCAGCAACTACTCGCCATATGGAAGAAGGCCCGGGGAAAGGAACGGGATGCGCTGCTGTGGGGTGACGAGGTATGTGGGATGGATGCTGCTGGAGACGAAAGTTGGTTAATACAGCTACTGACGGGGGTTCTTTGCTAGGTCGAATATCTCGTCGTTGCGGTTGACGATAAGGAGGAAAAAGTACGGCTGTCTCTGTGCCAGGCAGAGATTCTCAAGGCGCTTGCGCAGGATGCAGAACTGTCCAAGAGAGCTGCTGTCAACGGAGATGCTTCAGAGTACGACCTACCCGATAATTTCAAGTCTATTCTTATGTTCAAGGGTGATTTCTGACTTGCCGGTATAGAAAGGAGCCTCTGCCGACATTCCATCCTGAATTCGGCCGTTTCATGCTCGAAGCCACACCGGGGAAACCATGGGGAATCGGCTTCAAGGAGCTACTCAAGGTAGAGTCCAACATGAAATGGAGGTACGACAGCCCATCTCGCCTTTGCTTCTATCGTGAGATTGAATCTAACATTACCAGGCGAGTTACGGCCAAAAATCACATGGCTGCAAACGAATACCCCATCACACTCACTACATTCCCCCGCCTAGGGTGCAGTGATGATTTTACATTGCCATCATACCCTCTGTCAGGCCCAGCTCTACGCTCGCAGTTCGTTCCTGACGAGATAGCAAACCCTCACATCAGGTTCCCGACTCTGGCAGCCAACATCCGTTCGCGCAGAGGGAGGAAGGTCGAGTTGAACGTGCCAGTGTTCAGAGACACAAATACCCCATGGCCTTTCAAGGATCCTACCGTCAATTACGACTTGCATAAATGGCCAGAAGATGACGATGTACGGAACGGAGCTGCAAAGGAAGGTAATGTGTACATGGATGCCATGGCCTTTGGCATGGGCAGCTGTTGTCTACAAATTACTTTCCAATGCAAAAACATCACCGAGGGGAGGAAATTATACGATCAACTCAGCCCCCTGGGACCTATAATGTTGGCCCTGACCGGGGCAACGCCTATATATAAGGGATTCCTCGTCGACACCGACGTCAGGTGGAACCAGATCGGCAATGCGGTTGATTGCAGAACGCGAGAGGAGCTAGGAGAAGTTGTCAGTCTTCCTTCCCTTTTACTTACGATTAACCATCCCATACAATGCAGCAAGACTAACAACCCTATACAGCCCCTTAAGAACGATAGATGGCGCATCCCGAAATCGAGATATGCGTCAAACTCAACTTATATATCACAAGACCCCCATCTACGGCCAGAGTACATGGACCCCGACCTGGTAATCGACGAAGACATCAAAAAGAAGCTGATGGATGGCGGCATGGACGAGCTCCTCGCAACCCACTTCGCCCACCTATTCATCCGCGACCCCATCGTCATTTTCAACGAAGATCTCCAGGAACTCGACCTTACCAAGACAGACCACTTCGAGAACCTCCAATCAACCAACTGGCAACACATCCGCTTCAAACCCCCACCCGCCGACAACGACATAGGCTGGCGCGTCGAGTTCCGGCCCATGGAAATCCAAATCACCGATTTCGAAAACGCCGCCTTCAGCATCTTCATGGTTCTCATCACCCGCGCCATACTTAGCTTTGACCTAAACTTCTACATTCCCATACCCCGAACTACTGAGAACATGGAGACTGCCCACGCACGTAACGCGGTGCTTGACGAGAAGTTTTATTTCCGCAAGGATCCCTTCCCGCATCGGTACCCGAGATCGCAGCGTCATCAGCAATCTCGTCCCTCGTCACCGCCAGGTGGCTCGACACCCTCACCACCGCCCTCAACAACGCCGTCTTCTCCACTCTTACAGCCCATTGAATCGGAATACACCCTCATGAGTGTCAATGATATCATCAACGGTTCCCCAGATGGGTTCCCGGGTCTCATTCCGCTTGTTGAATCGTACTTGGACAGCCTCAACGTCGATGTCGAGACGAGATGCGCCCTAGCCAAGTATCTAGACCTTATCCGTCGTCGTGCAGATGGTTCTCTTTGGACCAATGCTAAATGGATACGAGAGTTCGTTGCAAAGCATCCTGATTATAAGCAAGATAGCGTTGTTTCGGCGAAGATCAGCTATGATCTCGTCAAGGCCGTGGAGGAGATTACGGAAAAAGAAGGCAAGGACGGAAGTATAGGGTGGGAAATGTTTACTGCAAAGAAGCATTAAATATATATATAAAAATAATAAAAGAGAGATTAGCTCGTAAAAAAGAATAGATATATTAGGTTTGGCTCGCGAATAGAATAGTTGTTTGGCACGATGCTCTTCAATGAAAATAGCAAGATCGTCCTTATAAACTGGGTTGTGTCGTTGGTATCCGTTTGTTTAAACTACTTAATGGAAGTGAAAAAGAGAAACTATTAACATGTTGAAAAGTGCGAGATAACTGGGAGTAAATTTCAATCATAATGTTATCCAAAATATCCAAGGATAGACGACTTCAGTCATATCTCATCAGAGTCAATTTTTTTTTTTTCGTTGTTTCGATGCTTTTGACCACAATATGTTGAGATCCACTGCTCAACCGGACCACTCAATATCGCAGTGAGGATAATCACGCAAATAATACCTCAAGTAGAGATGAATGAGCTGCGAAGTAAGAAGAATAAGTGCGGCCAAGGAAAAAAATATATCAAAATAGAAACACCCTCACACCAAAATAGGAGAGCTATGGACGATTCCACAGCTCCCTTGCCAGTTCTCCGCTTTTCCTGAAATTGAGACTGGAGCTGCTGCTGCGTCGCCTCCGAGTGCGGTTAGCATTAGGATCTGTAGGGTATAGTCCGCTGGCCCTGGCATAAAGGTTGAGGATATCAGTCAAACTGACAACCCCAACAAGACGACCGGATAAGCTAGCTCCTGGGAGTGCCGAGGCAGGGATCGAAGTAGATATGGATGCTGTAAAGGATGGAGGAGAGGTGCCGAAGGAAGGGTAATGTGCTGAAGATGCTGTTTGAGGGTACTGGAAAGGTGAAATGGGGTTATGGGTAGGACGTGCATGTCCATTCCCGTTCTGTGGATGGTTATTGCCATTGTTGCCTGAGGCAACATTGGTCGGTGGGGGAGAAGGCAGAGAAGCCCCAGTACTGCCCACGGCAGGCCCGGCAATGCTGCTGGTATGGTTTGGGGCTGATCCTAAAGGAATGTTGGTAGAGGAGTGTGACGGTGTAGATGGTGTAGATGAGGCCGGTGAGTGAGGATCAGTAACCCACATTCTAGTTTGAATAAGGTAAGTTAATCTTCTGAACCATGCCACCGAGGCTTATAACTAAGTTAAAGCTTACCTGTGAGAACGGGTGGCAACGAGTTTGGCAACTGTATGGGCAAGAGTGGACTGCGGGTTAATGTGGAAGACTGGGAAGGAGTCCTGTCCTTCTGTTATACCACGAGTAGATAAGATAACTGAGATGAAATGAATGCAGGTATTGTGAAGCAAGGGGAGCGATGTAGATTTTGTCAAAAGCTAGATGTTACCGTTGATTAGTGCTCCGTAGTCTGAAAGTTGAAATGATGGCACTAACCTTGACGTCGACAACAGATATGTTGCCAACAACATTCCATTGATTGTCAACCACCGCAAGGGATGAAACTCCTTCGTTGTTCATCAGTTCCAATGCATGACACAGTGGCCGATCTCCGCTGTAACGTACCAGTTAGCTCACGAAGATTGAGTAAAGTATGCTGTCTTGGACTGGAAATAGTACTAACTTGATTGATACCACACAGTGCGAGCCTAGCCTCAGCTCTCTCAGATGTTGCGGGTATAATTGCTCAATAACCGGGAAACTACGCCCGTTCTCCCAAAGGAACTTGACCAATTTCCATTGAGTAAACACCCCAATTACCTCTGTAGTACCTTCCTTCACCACAATGATGCGATGCACGCCTCCTCCAAACGTTTCAACAGCAGTCATTAGATTGGTAGACTGCGGCATAGTGGTGAGGGGTTCTTGCATTCCAAGTCCCTTGACGTCCTTGAGCGGGATTTTCTCCCCTTCCCTTGCTCTCCTCGCGAGCTCGCGTAGAGACGCCGCCTGTTCTTCATGACTTGGCTGTATCAATCCCACAACGAGGAGGAGGTATGCATTAAGGTCAGCATAGCCGAATGTACCGGCTGCAGTAGAGGAGCCTGGAGATTCTCGGATAAGCAGTGAGTGCGCACTGGACTCGATGAGAAGCTATATATATATGAATAGCCCACCTGTTAGTCAATGTCATATACAGCAATGGGAAAAGAGCAACGCATACATTCGTAGCATCTTCAATCGAAGTGTCTGCGTCCACAAACTTTAGATCAACGGGCTGCACCAATTCGCCAATTGAAATCTGCGTCCAATCTCGACCAGAGAAAGCTGGATCGGCAGCTGCATGCGAGGGGGGGTTATCTATCAGGCTCTGGACAGCAGCTTGAGTGAACGAAGGTTGCCGACGGGCTCGAGGCGAAGACGGGACGCCTCTGAGAGAGTCACCAAGACTCTGGCGGTGGGACAGTTTTGCGGGCTCTCGCCGCAGCGACGAGCTCCGAGAAGACGACGACCGTGAATCAGAGCTTAACCGAGGCGAAATGACAGCTTCTTGACCTGCTTCTCCCGCCGCTGGCTGTGTGTTCTTGCCACTCATCTTAAGCTCATTCGGGTTATCGGCTGTTTAGAAGAAGTTGAAATCGGCGTCAGGGAGGGCGGAGGTCCAGACAGGGAACAGACAGCCCAAACCCCTCTGCGATCGCTGTGTCTTGCAGATGATCGTGCTTTTGCCTTGCCTAGCCAGTGCAAAGGCTTCCAGCAAACAAAAATGCTAGTTATTCGGTGCGCAAGCAGAGAAACACCAGCAAGGTAGTCTGGAGTCTCTGGGGTTGACGAAGCAGTTTGATACCAAAAATAAACGGTTTAACTATCTGGTTTTAGGTGGGGCGTGGATGTTGACTAGTTAGTTCATGTTTTTTATTTAGATAAGGCCCGTAGATAATAGATAACTAAGAGATAGATAGATAGACTGGATAGACTAGAACATGATGACGCAGAGTCCGGCGGTGCGGAAGCATAACCACCCCGAGCGCTGGGCCTGGTAGACGGTGACAGAGATCCAGGTGATTCCTGCAAGCCAGAATAACGAAGAAAATACCAGAGAATAGAAAGATTTTGGCTACGAAAGAGGCGAAAAAGGGTTGGGGGGCAGTCATGTCACGTGGTGCCTGATGGAGGGAAAAGGCTGCTTGGTTATTAAGTAGACAGTGGATAGTAGAAAAATAAATAGACAGGAATAAGGGAATCAAGGAAGGTAGAGATGGTCAGCCGAAAAAGGAGAGCGCGTGGTACAGATCTTTGTCTTACCTATCCCAGCTGTTAGTCTTCTCTGAAGTTGGCATATGCAATAACCGGAGAGTGAGATGGGAGGGTAGGAGGAGAGGAGGAGGAGGAGGTTAGGGAGAGTCGTACTTAAATTGGTCAAGGAGGCCTTTCATGTCTCTTGTACGGCTCTCCCTTACTACTCGCTTGTTCTGTGTCAAATCAGGCTTAGAAGGGGTCATATCTGAGTCGTTCTGGGTCTTCTGGGCTTTTTCCTCCTGGAGGCTCAGATGGTCTGTAGCCCGGTACGTCCTCCTGAAAAGTATCTGTTTCTCTGGGTGGAGGGACTTCAGGTTGCGGCAATAAAGAGAAAAATCCACGACTGGCAAGTCGATACACGTCAGACGGTCGTCTTGTGTTTGGGATTCTAGTTCGCTACCCATATTCACTATAGTCCTATAAAGACTATGGTCTGAATAACGGACGACAACGGGTTCCCAGCCGTGCTGTTCTGCCATTTCTCTTGCCTCTTCACTGTACAATCTCGGGCAGCCTTGCATAATGAACGCCTTCAGTGCTGGGAATGCATTAAGATATGCGAACATGTGTTCAGTCAAGCTAGTTTGGAGACGGAGGACTAAAATCCGGAGGTGTTCAAAGCCTTGACCAGTAAGCGCCTGTTCACTCCATCCTTTAATGACTCGATCAGATATGGAGACGCTGGCTTCATATCCGAACTCCGTCCGCTTGGGCTGGGTGCGGATTTCCAGGCCAATTAGATTGCGGACCTTGGCGACTGCAAGGAACTCATGAGGCTCGAAAAACTCGACTGATAGGCCTACAACGGCTGTCCAGTTCACTGATGCTGAAGTTATAAGCTTCAGGTAATTGCTGACTGCCATCTTCTTGGAGCTTGGCTTGAGTGAATAGCGATGGGATATCTGGTTAAATTCTGCAGGGTAAGCTGTTGCAAGGATCTTCCATAAGTACAGGCTTGTTCGTTTGCTAGAGCGAGCATTAATAGAAGAGCCAGGCAATACTCATTTCCACAGGGTGCCATGGCATACCTTCGACATATGCAGACCCAGAGGTACAATGCAATCGACCACGGGACACCTTTAAAGTGTGCGGTACTCAGGGTGCGCTGATCAGCCAAAACGGCTCTCATGGCCATGTGCTTTAGAGAATGCGCGCCAACCGGGCTATACGCCTCCCATCCCGCAGGCAGTAATGGAGATTCGTGAACCCATGCGAACCCTCTCCGTCTGCGGGTCGACGGCGCAACTTGAACCACCTCCTGAGTGTACACCTGGCCACTCTCCCTGTCATATGGCATTGTGACTATACGATATTAATAACCGCAGATAAATATACCTTTTCACATTCTAAAGTCCCTTAGACGTAACTTAGTTACGGGAGTGCGAGGTATTGGGCAATCAATGGTTTCAGGTCGAAGCTACTCCTCCAATGGCTCCCTATGGCACGCCGTGTCAGTTTGCAGGCTAGAGAAAATCTCAGCAGGGCCAAGTTCGGGCGATCACAGTCATATAATGAGCCGGTAATGGTTACGATGAGCCTGATGAGGTGACAATAGCACCAATTTGCTAGTTGTGAGTGTTGAATCTGTGGACAGTCAAGTCAGGCTGAGATCTCTCGCGGGGTCCTCCAAGGTCCCAATGACATCGGATAAACTGAACGCCCGCCTCCCATGTCTCACCTGCAGGCTGCCGGCAATGATGGGTATATTGTCAACATGACTACCGCTAATCAACTGGGCTGGACAGTAATATGCGAAGAGAATGCGTCTTCGTGGTTGGATTATTTCAACCGTTGACGTTGATTATGTGAGATTATGTTTTTAGCACGGGACTCTCATTGATGCAGACAAAGCGGAAAGCCTATTGACAAGGACAAGCCACATAACCAAGATGACATCTACTTATCCAGTAGGTACTTCGACTTCAACAGTTATTCAGGACAAAATACGGAGTATCTAATTCTCAATTCTCGTTTCTCAGATTTTGATGTCTTCCTTTTTCTTTCCAGCTCCATTACTATTATTAAAAAAAAAAAAAAAAGAATATCAATAGCGAAGCAAGTTCAACCAGGATACCGAGACTATCTCTGTTCGATAACTACAACCCACACAAGGATGATGCAGCGATCGGCCTTGGTTGCTCGTTGTTCGATGCACTAAGAGCATTCTCATTTCCCCATGCCTTGATCTCGCTCTCAAGAGCCTGTAAATCATCGCAGTTAAGAATTCTTGCTCCGGCAACCGGTCTTTGTAAGAGGGCAAGAATCCATAGCAGCCATATTCGACAAGTGCAAACGACACCGGGAACATTAAGCCTGTTGTCATATGTCCTCATAATGCCATCTATGCTCTCTCCCGAAGTGCTGGAGGGACATTGCTGATCTTGAACAAACCGACAAGCAAGAAGGCCTTCATCACACCAGCTGTTGACCCGTGGTCTGCCGTCCATCCACTATTCCCCTGTTGTCTGACGTGATATTTGATTCCATCATTGGAGCCGCTGTGAAAGTAAAAGGCCCAGTGGAAGTCGTTGGGGATGGGTGGATGACTTCGGAGAAACAGCATAATATAGAGCCTTCCCGCTTCTAATCCAGTGGCAGACATGGGTATATCTGAAGCCGTATCTCAATCGGTACAGCAGGCTGTTTCTCGGGCCTTCCCGCCTTCTCGTTTACGACGGTAAGTAGTTGTCAAGCTCGACTATTGTGTTCGGATCTATCGAGTATCACGTAGAAGCGACAAAAGTACTTCCCCCTCAACGTCCAGCCACTATGGTCTAGGATAATGTAGAATCGGAAAACGCACGAGCACACTGAAATACCAATGAAGGTAAGCGTCCAGTGACAATATGGGTTTGTATGAAACTCGTGCGTTTTAACAGCAGCATGGACGGCGCTTAACGACATCATACTCAGCCCAGACTCGATCCTCCTATTTCGTAGAACGAGGAGAGCCAATGGATGAGAGCCACGCTTCGGAATCCGCATCAGCGGGTCAGACAGATGAATAAGAATGCATCTCTTCCCCTCCAACAGACGCTGCTGGGATTGGGACGAAGAAGATTTCGTTGGTTGTGGATGTTCGAGAAGTCAATCATCCCTGATGGCCATGAGGCCGGCGCGAAAAAAAAAGGGGCTAAAACCCACGACGGTCCGTACATCCCCAGAAGAACTTCCATCCCACCCCAGGATGCAATACTGCTTAGTTTTCATGCAGCATGGCTTTGAAAATAGCAATACACCCACGACCCTTTGACATTATGAATGTAGTTAAGGGGGTGCAAAAGCCTCGCTCGGTCTTCGTCACTTTGGGGAGAGGGATTGCCGGCTCCCACACATAGATAGCCCCCTTGTTTGTTTCGCCTATGAAGGACAGGCTTTTTGCTTCTTCTGGGCCAAAGACCTGCTGGCATTGTGCTTCATAAACCGGTGTCTCCTGGCGAATCGTTCTTTGGCCACGGCTCTAGCGTTTTTCGATGGGCTTTTCTACTTTTCAATGTCCTGGGAGATTGCGGCTGTGTAGAAGTAGGGCTGATTATCTGCCACCTTCTCTCTCAACATCGCATCGTTCCTTTGTGATATACATGCTTTTGTCAATTGTATATCAACACGAACTGGTCTCTGGTAGATCATTGCTTTCCAACTGATTACTGTCGTTTAACTTGTTAATCTCATATTATCTTACTGTTCACCTTGCTCGGCAACACAGAGCTTCATTTCCTTGCGTCTTCTCTAATGTCTTCACTCTTCTCATCCCGATCTAAATCGCAGGTCCGAATTAGTTCTCAATCCAACAAAAGCTCCAATGAAGGGTTTGGTGACTTCGAGAATAGAAGCCGCCTATCATTCTCCAAGATGCGGAAGAAAAGGCCGCCTCCCATCAATATCGCGGTGGCCGGAAATGTTATCATCACAAATGCCACTCCGACCTCCCAGGTGATATATGCAGATATGCCATGGTCAGCCTCAAACCCCCCGACTCCCCGCGCAAACGTTTGCTCCAACCCGGGATGTATGGCCCGCGATACGATGCCCATGAGCTCACCCGTGGATGCTCAATTAAGGTTGAACAGCCCACATACAACCTGTACTTGCCAGCAGTACATTCAGTCAACACCATCGAACCCATCTTACATCTCTCCTCATCATGCATGCTTCTCAGCAGCAGAGCTTCCAGGTTCATTTGCATCTCCCAAGAGCAGTGTTGAGCTCGATGCACCCACAACTCCAACAAGGCTCACATTCGATCATCTCGACGAGCATATATTGGACTCCCCCCCGAACTTGACGTTGAGTCCAAAGACTGAGCCGACGCAATCAACCAGGCAAGACCGTTACCAGTTCGGTCAGTTGCTAGAAACAGAGCCAACTCGCAACGGGAAGTCCCTAAGACAGATGGATTACGATGAGCTCATGGATATCCTCCCAGACCTTACTCCGGGTCAAGTCAAGATGTACTGGAATCCAGCCATCCGCAAAGAGCTTGAGGAAGAAAAGCAGACCAGCCCTGCTTCAGCTGCTAGATCAAGTCGATGGAGTGAGCGCGTAAGAATTAGCCAGTCCGGCTTCCATATTTTGTCCAGACGACTAACTTTACATAGAACGAGGTATATGATGGCGGAGAAGACCCCGAGCAGGTCAGAGCTGAGTGCGAGATCCGGTTAAACACCAAAGAGAACGAAATCACAGGCCTTCTGCGGCTTCATGACTCGCGAATCAATGCACTTTGCAAGTTCATATCTGAACATCTCGAGGACCAGCTTGAGGGTCCGGAAAATGACAACAACCAGGAAGTACGAGAGATCATATCGGCTCAACAGCGTCGAGGAAGAGACCCCTTTGACGCAGACCTCCAGCACATGTACCAGTCTGGACAGATCCAGGAGCTGCAAGACCATATATCTAAACTGGAACCAGTCGCTATACGCAACGAAAAGCGAGCCAGAACATACAAGGCCAGGGCCAAGTCTCTGCAGGCGGATCTCATGGCTTCGAAGGAGACTGAGCAGCTTCTCAAGCAAGAGCTCATCGAGAAGGACGCCTATATCGACACGCTTAATAACAAGGTGACCCAGCTCCTGACCATGCGCCCTGATCCGTTTTCCCCGTCTGATACCCGAGGGTCCCGGAAGCATCTACCTTCGCCGGCTCCATGTGACTGGAAACGGGCAGAAGAGCTCAAGCACCAGGTCGCTACCTGAACGTCGTAGGCAAGCTAGTGACGATATGAATTTGGTGACAGATAAGTATTGTCTAGGTAATCTATTAGTTATTCGGTCCCGGTTTGTTGGTTAGTTATGGTTCTGGATGTATGTATCTGTCGTGGGTTACAGGTATTGCTGTCGGAATATCACATAGTTAGTTGGCTAATTACCTAGTCATCCAAAAAGTTTTTTTCTAATCAGCATTCAAAATAGCTAAATCAATAAATAAATGGATGAAAGTCCCTGAAACAGCCGGAATTAGTATATACCTCTGTTCTCTTTCATGATGGTGTTGGTTTTGATGCCTGGTGTCTCGTCCTATCAGCAGAACTAAAAAGGGGCTCAGCCAACGAAACCCGCAGGGATATGGGGCGTTTCAGAATCGCTACATCACATTCCGGCCGCTTTCTGCACGGAAGATTATACCGCAGGACGGTGCCTGGCGCTACCTGATGCATATCAGGTCTGTCCGCGAGTTATACACCTGCAGAGAGGGGAGTCGCAGCCGGAAGGATACATCGATATCTTCTCGCGCCAACTAACTCACTAACCAAGCCGCCGAGATGATCATCGACAGAAGCAAATGATATTGCTCGTTGCCATGGGGCCATCGGGGCAAGCAGATATAATAGTCATCGTTCATCGTCCGTATAACCAGAGAAGCTGAGTTTATCAAGGTTGACTGTGACTTGCTGGGTGTTCGGTTCATGATCAGGTCACGGTGACGCCTGTTGATTCCATAAGCCACCTGGTCTGCCGCTTGCTGCTCTCATATATCAGCCTAAAGATCCGGCTCTTTGCTGGCGTGTTCTTGACCGGACAGCTCCTCGACTCGATAACTGACCTCTATGAGACTTTTAGATATCTACTCGAGCAAAACGTTGAACTGATTCGTCTCCAAGAGTCTCGATATCAACTACTACCATAAGTAGTACCCTCTACCCCCTGAGAGTCACCACTCTACGAAAGTCGCTATGATCAAGACCACCCTACCCGAATCGGCAGAGACACCGGCGGAGCGACAGGACCGTGAAAATGGAGGCTTCCCTCGGGTCGAGAATAAGCTAGCTTTGGATCCTACTTCAGTACTCCGAGTAGCTTCATGGGTCGCATACTTCACGTCTTCAGTGAGCTCAAAGCTCACCACAGGCACCCAGCTTGTGGATCCCAAGAAACATATTGTCTGGCTGTTCGACAACACTGCGTACCAGCCGGATCATGGTCCAGTATATGGGCCTCCTGGATGGAAGACTCATGTGGTGGGATGCATGTTTGAGAAACACGGAAGGCGGGATATTGGACGATGGGTAGCCATCATCGCTGATTTGGTCGGTCTAGACGGCAATGCAGGGCTCAACGACAATAAGGAGGTCCGCAACCGGATAGCCACGCGTATTCAGCCCTTCCTGAACGCCGTTGTACCAAATCGAGTCATCGATCTAGAGGTCCCGGTTTCAAAAGAGGAGGTGCATGAGTTCAAGCTAAACAGCTCCAAAAAGGATGGTATAGCCGAAGATGATATCCTGATAATCCCAGCATTGGGCATCCATGATGGTTCGGTGGTTGAATCCCATGCGAAGCACTGGGGCCCTAAACCCCCGACGATGAAGACCGTCTTTGCAGCTCAAGATGGCTGGGCCGTCATCTCAGATGTCGATGACACCATCAAGTACACTCAGACACCGGACGCCATAGGCATCCTCAAGACTACCTTCGTCGATGACCCAAAGCCAATAGACGGCATGCCAGAGTCGTATAAGCGTATCCATGAACGCCTCAACCCAACTTGGTTCTACCTCTCGGCTTCCCCTTATAACTTATATTCATTCTTGCACGGCTTTCTTAGCTCACTCTACCCTCAAGGCACACTTCTTCTACGCGAAAACTCATGGATGGACCTAGCTGGCCTGCTCAAATCCTTCACCCAGGGAACGCAGGAATACAAGGTAAACCAGCTGGCCAAGGTATTTGGATGGTTCCCGAGACGCAAAATTTTGTGCATTGGTGACTCAACCCAAAGTGATCCGGAAGCTTATGCAGAAGCGTATAAGAAGCACAACAAATGGATCAAGGCCATATATATCAGGAAGGTGACTGATGTGGCGAATATGGAGGGCAAAAATGATGCCGAGAGATTCGAAAAGGCATTTGAAGGGGTACCGCGCTCTGTCTGGAAGGTGTTTGAAACTGCAGATGAGCTTGACCAGCTTGTGGAAGACCTCCAGCGTTAGCAATGGTAGAGGTCAGTCAGAATCATGATGTGATGATGATGGTTTATCGATATTCATCTGTTCCTTCTCATATGTTTTAATAGGGGGTATTTCTGCTACTTTCAACCACTTTGCTTTTCTTATTTCTCATTCGAATTTGGTTTTTGAGCTGTCAACATGTATCCCATGTTGAATTTAATGATGCTTGCTAGTAGGGGTTTTTCGTTTTCAAGGCTGTTTATTCTTTCTTCTTTCTTACGGGTCGGCTGAACTCTGGGTGAACCTTTCCACAGCATGTGTTCTTCCTCTGCTAATAATGAACGTATGTTACTTCTATGTTACTTCTATGATAGCCTTCTGCCCTTGCAAAGTAGTGCGGCTACAATGTCTCAATAGGCTAATATAGCTATTTCACGTACAACGTTTCTGACGTCATATCAACGTTCAGCTCTCCACGGATTCCAGAGGCCGGCATTTCTAAGCTGAGCATCAACTCACACCTTCTGCAAACAAGTCCGAGCTATCCGTACGGATATCACAGCTTCCGTCCTCAGACCACAGTTATTTACATATCCGGAAGCTGAACGCCCTGTATAAATGGACATGTCTTATCGCCTGTGCAGATTGATAATACGCCTTTTATGCTAGAATTCAACAACCATTCACGTATGATATTTATGGTAAACGATGGCAGACCAGGAACACATTCCCCAATTTATGCCGGCAGTCCATCTACCCCCTGGACCCTACGATCCGTCTTCTCCTCCGCCCGCTTCCTCTCTGATCTATGACCCCAAATTCCCAACCCCTCAACCAAACCCATCTCAATACCTGATAAAAGTGCTCAGCACCGCCCTGTGCCGTGATGAACTCACCTGGCCTGAAGTCATATCTAATTCTCGCGCCTACCAGCCTCCTATCCCAGGCTACGACGTTTGTGGTACCATTCTCTCAACACCGTCAGATGACGAACATACTTACGACGGCCCTAAGTTCAAAGTTGGCGATGAGGTTTTCGGATGGTTGAGCGTGCATAGAGGAGGAGGGGCCGCTGATTGTGCTTTGGCAGAGGAGAACGAGCTAGCATTCAAGCCGAAGAACGTAACAAGCGTCGAGGCAGCGAGCATTCCTCTATCTGCCATGACTGCATGGCAGGCTTTTTTCGCCCACGGAAATCTAAAGCATATTGCAGACAAGTGTGGACACCTGGACAGTGAAGTAGTGCGAGATGACTGTATGGATGAAAATGGCAAAGAAGGGGTCAAGCAACTGCAGCCTCGCGGCGAGCCTGTCCGAGTGCTGATAACCAATGCATCTGGCGGAGTGGGAGTACAGGCCCTTCAGCTCTTACGGTCAAAGACTCTATTCGGAGACCAGAAGTTCTGGATATGCGGTACATGTTCAAGCCGCAATGCAACCTTTTTGAAAGACACCTTGCACATCGATGAAGTTATCGACTACACCGTTAACCCGGATTTGAGTGAAGCCTTTAAATCAAAGGGCTGGCAGCCTGTTGACTTTGTGTTTGACTGTATAGGGGGTCAGTCGCTGAAGCAAGCCCATTCCCCAGCCGTCATTTGTGATAATGGCTCGATAGTTAGTGTGGCACATCCACTCAAGGAGGAGTGGGGAGATTTGGGAATTGAAAAGAGAGGGTTGAGCAGCCGATATTTTATCATCGAGTTAAATGGGAAGCAACTGGAGAAGATTGGTACGCTAGTAGAAAAAGGCGAAGTCAGGGGCTTTGTTGACAGTGTCTTTGAGCTGCACAGAGCCAGAGAAGCCATGGAGCTGGTTGAATCGAAGAGGGTTCGAGGAAAGGTCGTCTTGAAGGTTAACTAGCTGTGATGCAATGATTGGAATGGTAGCCAGAAAATTAGTACATAAGCGTCACATTGCATCTTTTTCAATTCCTATATCTTAACTTCACATACGCAGTGTTGGGAAGAGAAAGCAGAAGGAATTAGCTACTCAAAAAGCTGTACAATTTGGGGCATATGTTAGTTAGGTATTTGACTTAGGCAGGAAGCTCCATAACTACCTAAGCTACTAAAATTAGTTCAACGAGTTAACTTAAAGTTAAACCAATCAGATGCGACTGCTAACAGCCTTTTCTTGGCAAGTTTGGCCGACTGCTGACTAAGCATATACTTTGGTCTCTTTTTGGCCCAGCGCGGTTTGATACTGTTTAACTTCCTCAGCATTCTTGAAATGATATCCCGAACCCCTGGATGCTCCTCTCCTACAGATGGTATAGAAATGTATTTTGACTGTCCTAGACTTTCTTCATACTAAAGCCGGAATGGTTCATACTTATATCTGACAGTAATCACTTTTTTTTATATGTACTTATAGCTTTGAGAGCAGACAACCTGGTGCTCACTGCTGAAGATGATTCTATGCTCGAAGATTTTGAAAAAGTGGAGTTAGAGAATCCTGCTCCCAAGGAGATTATAGATGAAAAGCGGTCAATCTAGAGGTCTTGTTATTTTTCTAGACCAAAAAATGACGATTGGGGTTATCCGACACTCTATGACTTCAAAGAGACTCGAATAGTGACTGTTCACAGTCCGGAACAGCCAGGGGAGTTCTCTAGGGCCCCTGGCTAAATATTGAATGAGATATTATTATTACCCTCTTGATATTTGGTATAGTGGAAACCTTGGAGTCATGCAAAATCTGTAAGGATGTTAAGAGGTATATGTTGGCTAAAAGCCGACCGCCGATTCGAAGGTATGAGACTTGAATGCTTGAGCAGTATTTTCAGCTCAGTGCATGATGGTAGATTTCCATACCGTCATATTCATGTTGGATTTATGCGTAAGAGGTGGCCTATACCCTCCAATTCCGGAGCACTGCAGTGTTCACAGCCTTTATGTGTGCATATTATTTTGTTTGTCTCTACCTGCTTAGACCGCTCGGGTAAATGAAACTATTCAAACAGAATATCGAATAGAAAAAGAGAAGAAAGAAAGGAAAAAGATTCCGGAGTAAAGACATATAGGATTAGAAGCATAAATAGAAATGACTGGATCATACCGGGAACTCTTGAATAATGCAATCATTTTAACATCTCTTCTCCAAACCTTTTAAGAGTCCGGTAGGGCATGATGAGGGATAAGGCGCTAAGAACACATTTGAGCATGAGCCAAGAGAAGAGAAGCAGAGGGGTAAAAGAGGTGTCCGGATAATAATAGAAGGTAAAGAAAGGTAGATGTGATGAAATGAAGATATAAGACATTAATAGGCATTGAACCAGCTTTGATGATAGGTCGGTATAAGGGAGGCCGCTTAAAGCAAGGAGTCAAGGCGAGTGAATACACCTAAACATGCAGCCACAACCTATATAAAACGGTTAGACTTTGCGATATGATTCTAGACGCATCACTGATAGTGTGTTCTAACTTACCTCGAGCTGGAGTTCCTTATCCTTGGCCCTTTCAACCTCTTCTGCCACAGCCTGTGGTAGATTAGCTCCAATAACATGTGCGCCAGCGCCCTTATTCGACACAAATGGCCACTGTGAATATTCAGCCAACAGCTCATCAACCTGCGCAAAGGCCCGCTCCCTAGCCTCATGCCCCATGGTTACAAGCGCATTTTCCAGCACATTCGCAGCATATGCAGCGCAGACCAATGCGATAGTTCGTAGATACCTGAATTCAATATCTTCTGGAAGGAACTGGTTCGGGGGTAGCATGACAGTGCGGCTGCTGCAGATGTTGCGGACTCTCTTGTGTAGTTCTTCCTTTGCGCCGCCGTCGGCGACCGGGTGTGTGGCCATATCGAAGAGCAGGAAATTGCGTTTTTCGGTTCGGAGGACACCTTTGTCGACTAGACCTTTGGCAAGCCGTTCTCGTACTTGCTTCAGTTGGTAGCCGATTTTCATCAGATTCCAGGTCTCGCCTATAATTCAGTAGTTAGACTTTTATACCTTGCCATGATTTCAAGAGGTAATGGTCGTAAAGAGTGGACTAACCGCTCATAAGGTCGATCCAGGAGCTCACACTCATTTTCTCACTAGCTTTCATCATCTTCAATGCCTCGTCCAGCAAGACTTCTCCAGTCAAGGTATCATCGATAACCTCAATTATCCGGTCTGCAAGGGGGAACCGCCGCCTCGATGAGTCTTTTTGCATACTGATTCGACCTCGGAATGCCAGTTCAATCACAATACAACCTCGTAGTGCATATGAGATGTTTTCGTTCCAAAATGATAAGTATCCCTATAAAATGGGCCAAATGGAAATGATTAGACTGTGTTATTCATGGCTTCAACCGTTTTCTGGAGAATATTACCTGCTTATCTTTCAGGCCCAAGAGCAACACCTCTTCCATAAGCGTGAGCTTTGGTTGCTTACTCCGCTCCTCATTCTCACTGATATCTCTCGGGTCAAAAGCAATTTTGTGTCCATTCTCGCCGGTGAACGAAGACTCTCCACGGCCTTCCTGGGATGCACCGTTTAATGACGCCGGCGAAGCAACTCTGCCGCTCTCAGCACCGCCGTCTCCTCGACCAGCTCCTCGCCGGCGAGTTAAGCCGCTGGTAGACGCCATAAGGAAACAAGGAAATAAACCGGGGAGCTCGCTAGTAGGTCGGTAACGAGCCGCAACAAGCTCAGGGAACAGCTGCGTATGGCATAGAAATGCGCGTTGGGTGTTCTCGAATCTGAGGGGGGTAAAAGGGGAGAACCAGGCAACTTCGAAACGGTCGCAGCAGTGGATGTCTGGCGGCAACGGAGAGCTAAGAACAGGACCGGAGTAGGGTAGATATAATTACAAGCACCGCGTGCACAGCCAGAGAATCTGAAATCTGGCACACTCAGGAAGTTGTTGTCTTGCAGTCTTTTCCTCGTCTCTGGAGGAAGGGAAGAAGTGATAAAAATCGCGTTGGTCAATTTCGGCTTGGCGGCTGTCAGATTTTAGCAGCTTGCAGAAACGGCGTTCAAGCGAGAAGTATTCCTGTATATATTCTGCCCTTGTTAATATGAAACTTGGCTATTTAGCGGAATAATGCTTGGTGTCGTCTACCAAGGTCGTCATATGGCTACATTTCTGTGGCTTTTTTGGGCGCCGTTAAGTGACTGATATGCGAGCCAGATGCCGTCACGAGAGCAGTTACTTCACACTGAAGCCAAGGTGGAAAAAGGCGCCTTGCTGTCGGTTTTGCCAGGCAGATTGAACACTCCAGGGAAGAAAGCAAGATAAAGGAGTAGAATACACATGAGATATTCTCTAATTATATCAAAATGTGATCGTTTGAGCTGATGTACACAATATAAAAAAAATGAACTTGGAACGACAATCATAGGACCGGCGCCTTATTTTCACGCATGTCTAGAATAGCTTAGAAAACCCTGCTGGAGGCTTAGTCCAATTAACGAGGCTCGACCGTGCCATTTAGTGAGCTGTATGGATTGTCAGCATAGAGCCTCCGAGGGATTTCGACATAGCAGTGGCTACATACCGTCAGGTGCGGAGAGGATATAGTCAACAGCGTTACGAACTGTGATTTAGTCAGTAAATGAGTGGGCGGCAGAATTAGAAGCCAGTGCTGCCTTCGTCCGGCCCAAGGTCAAGAATAACATACCACTGTGGATCTTCTCAGCTTCCAGGTCTGGAATCTCAATGCTGAATTCCTGTTTCCTCAAGTCAACATCTAGTCCGTCATCCAATTCATTTTAACAAGAGAAGAATTACCTCTTCAATGGCCATCACAACCTCAACGGCGTCCAAACTGTCCAATCCAAGATCATTTTGGAAGTGCGACTCGACGTTGATCTTGACAAACGAGTAAGAATCCGCAAATTGGTTGATAGATCAGTCAAACGGGCCATATCTGCTGCATACATACCTTGGAGGCATCGGAAACCTATACAATTTTCGTCGTTAGTAACAGTAATAGACAGAAAACCCAATACAACAGAGACATAAAATTGGTGATTGCCGTACATTATCAAAGTTCTTCAACAGGTCAATTATTCTACCCTGGACTTCCTGCTCGCTGAGGCCGGCTGGGGCAGAGTACTGTCTTATGGCCTGGTAGGCAAATCTGGGAACGAATTGAGCTTGTCTGGCAATGCTGGCGGCGACTGGGGCCTGGCGAGAGACAGGCGAGGCAACTCGGGCAACGCGAGGAACGGACGTCCTCAGCGATCGGATGACGGCAGAGCGGAACATGGTTGCGGTATATGCGGTCTGTAAGAGGATCGATTGAGCAAGAATAACAGCTGTGCGGTGAGATATCTTGTCTTCCAGATGCGTTTGCAAGCTCGTCGGCGTCGTTCGTCGTCGTCGTTTTGGTGTTTTTTGTCAGAAAGACATGAAGTCGTAGTTTTTTTGCTTCTCAGGCCGCCAGCCAATCAGAAGCCACGTGAACAGTCTTACCTTTCCACGCTTCAACATCAAAAAAGACGAACAACCGAAAACCGCAAGAAAAGCGACGGAAGACAGCGAGATAGATCGAGATCGCGAGAGAGGCAGAAGATCACTCGATCAATTGAAGCATCATGGTCTCATCAAGGGCTGCCACCAGGCTACTGGCCTACCGGGCGCCGTCACCGCTGACCCCGGCGTATGCCTCATCCGTCGTCCGCGCATCAACGTCCTCCTTCTCAACCTCCGCCATTAGAGCTGCCACTCCCGCCGGGCCACCACCCTCAGGCTTCCGTCTTGCTCCTCCAAAGCGATGGGACCAGCAGGGCGAGACCTCTCTCGATAGCGCTACCAAGTACTTCCTCATGGCCGAGCTGTTTCGAGGCATGTACGTGGTACTGGAACAGTTCTTCAGACCTCCGTATGTACCGCCTTTATATATATACATGTCCAGATATTGTTATTCAACAATTTATGATTCAATTTCTGGTTATTAAGGAAGTTGGAAGTGCATACGGATAGGCAGGCTAACCATTGAGATAGATACACAATCTTCTACCCATTCGAGAAAGGTCCTATCTCCCCCCGCTTCCGTGGCGAGCACGCTCTCCGCAGATATCCCTCTGGAGAAGAACGATGCATTGCTTGCAAGCTCTGTGAGGCCATTTGTCCTGCGCAGGCCATCACCATCGAAGCTGAAGAACGTGTTGATGGAAGTCGACGAACTACCAGATATGATATTGATATGACCAAGTGCATCTACTGTGGATTCTGCCAGGAGAGCTGTCCTGTAGATGCCATCGTTGAATGTGAGTTGCATCCTTACTTTTAAAAGGTGATCGGATGATACTAATGCTTGTTACCAGCTCCCAATGCCGAGTATGCTACTGAAACCAGAGAAGAGCTGTTGTACAACAAAGAGAAACTACTGGCAAATGGTGACAAGTGGGAACCAGAACTCGCCGCTGCTGCCAGAGCAGACGCCCCTTACAGATAAAACATACATACATACCCTTGGACACATATCCTTCCTTTACCCTCTTTTCCCCGTTCCTTGATATCTCTCTGTAGTACTTGTACTAGTTTTTTTCCCTTTTTTCTTTTTGATTCCTGTAAAATGGATCCTCGGACTTGATCGTTAGAATGATCGGAAACAATCCAATTGAGCGTTGTGTATATCATCAAAATACTGGCGGAAGCTTCAAATTACTCCCTCTAGGGCGCTCGCTATCGATAGTTCTGATATTTGATCTTGTTATCAATATATATACCATATTTTTGATCCTCATGACCAGTATATCAACCGTATCGGAAACAAGTAAAAATTCATGTACAAAAATGATAACATTAGCCAAGCTAGCTAATTACACGAGGATGCACAGTTATCCGCAGAATCCAATCGATCAATTATCTTTTCCCTTTCCACAAACCACGCACTCTAACGCCATAATACAAAAGGTAAAGGCACGGCTCAGATGCTATGAAAAAAAGAACACGAAAGAAGAAGCGAAAGAAACAGGGAGGCCGTTATCTACTTCTTCTTAGACTTGAAGCCCCCTTCAAACCCAGGCCTGCCTTTCCCTTTGCTCTTGGCCACCTTCTTCCCACTCTTGACCCCCTTGTTCTCCTTTCGTTTCCGTAGGTTCTCATCTCTCTTCGACTGCCTAATTTCTTTCCCCTTAGCAACCCCATCTATTCTCTCTTTCCATTGCTTTTCACTTCGTTTCTTGAGCCCTTCTTTTCTATGCAGAGCTTTCTTAAGCAATGAAACGTCGTCCTTGACACGTTCTCCATGAGCTCTCTTTTTAGCGTTAAGCCACATATCCTTCTCCTCTATATCAGCGCGTTTCTCCTCGTCAAGGCTAGCAAGGCGAGCCTTTTTAGCCTCAGCTGCCTTGAGGGCGGTATTCGCATCCTGCGGTCCGCGCTTCTTAGCTGCATCTCGGAGGCCGGTCATGCTGGAATCCAGCTGTTGGCCATCAGCAAAGACCACTCGTCCAAAGGAGAAGTTATTGGGTATAGAGGCTATTGAGTCGGCCGGCGATGCAGGCGAGGACAGAAGGGAGCCCGGGTTCTGGGCAGAGAAACGTTTAGAGATGGCCTCATCTCGAAGTCGTTGCTCTTCTTCTTTGGCCTTTTGTCGTTGTTCCTTCTTCTGAGCACGGCGTGCCTCTTCACGCTGCCGTCGACCTTCAATAAGTTCCTGTCTATTCTTGGCGGGTTTCCCGTTGACACCGTCGGCATGACGGGCGGCACGAAGTTCGTCGATACGTTTTTGTAACCTTTCTCTTATTTGTTCAGGCGTACGCTGGGGTTTTCCGAGCTGTGGGGATGACTTGTTGTCGATAGTAGGGGCAGGGATGGTAGGCGGGACAATGGAAGAGACAGACGAGCTACCCGAGGGGGGGTTGGATGGGTCTGATGCATTGTTCGGTGAAGTGGGAGCAGTTGATTCATGGCCTGCCTGGCCCTGCAGTGCTTCAGAAGAGAATCCTTCCAGGGATATGTCTTCCATTTCGCCATCACTTTCAGCAGAATTCTTGATATTTTTCGCTGTGGATTTGGCGGGTTTCTGTACTGATGGCGACGGTTGTTCAGTTGTATCATCGACCTTTGATTTAGATGGCTTAGAAGACGCTTCTACGCTGGCCTGCTGCTCTCTCTTCGCAGCCTTTAGTGCCGCTATTTTCTCTTTTCGTTTCTCACGTTTCTCGGCTTGTTTCTTCTTCAACATCTCCTGCTTTGCCGCCTTTGCTTCACTCTTGGATTGTTGTTTGATATCTCCATCTTTGGCTTTGTGGTCTTCAGGGCTTGAAGTAGCAGTGGCCTTCTTCTGCTTCTTTGGCTTGGAGTCTCCCCGCTTAAGGCCTTCCCTCGGCTTCTCTGAACCTAGAGGTTCCTCCTCCGAATGTGAGCTATTCGCATCTTGAGTCTCATCTTTGTCTGTTTCTTCTCTTTTCCTCTTTCTGGCATTCTCATCCATCACATCCTTTGCCGATTTTGAGCTTTCAGGGTCTAGTTTGGCCCTCTTTGCGTCTCTGGCCTGTTCCTTGGTCTGCTTCTTCCGCTGCCATTGTTCCTATATTCAAGAACTCAAATATCAGCAATGACTTTCAAAAAAAAGGCCAGCGGCATTCATAATAATCTTCCGCTATCGAACAGAGCGGAACGTACACTGTTATCTTCTCCGTAGTAGTACTTTGCGGGAATCAGCGACAGCAAGCCATCAAACGCGCTCGCATGGCCTCGTAGGCGTTCCTAAACCGAGTATAATTTAGCAAGCGGAAGCGCCAAATGCCAAAAGGTATCTTACCTCTAAGCTATCCCCCATAACTGCAAGCAACAAGAAAAAGAAAATGCTCTATAATAACACCGTCCACGGCGTCGTCGACGGCTTGATGAAAATATTTCGAAATCTTGAACGGTGGGAAGAAATCTTGGCGTTTTCTCGTTTTCTGCCGTGGGGCTCCTTCACCGCCTTGGGTCCCAATAATAGCATTTTGATATCAGCTTCAACGACATCAACATTATTTGATATCAACAGCAGCATCAATAGAAGAAAGGGATATCAATAGCAGATGTCCTTGCTGAAGAAGTGCTTCATTGGCCACTGGCGATGGTGATAGCATTCTCCTTGTGATAGCATTGTTGACCAACAGCGTTTAGTCAGTAGATGACTGCTGGTGTTATACTACGACATGGCATGGCACACCCTCACTGAGCGCTTCTAAGAGACCGTCGGCCATCGTCAATGACAACACAGGCATACTTGGTACAAGTTACCTTCCACTTCAGGATGATAGTGTGTCTGATACACCTTTTTACATATATATTGGCAAATTAATGGGCAGAACAGGAGATAGGGAAACTCCCTCATACGGAGTACAGGGGACTGGCCACCACTGGCACTATTGACCAGGTACTGAACGATAATAAGATGCACACCTTCCTTCTACGGAATATGTATCAACGTGCTGACATCATTCGAAATTTCGATAATAATAATGATGTATGCGCGTTCCTGGTCCCTGGCGGCTAAAAGGATGCCGGATTCGGGTGTCTCGGCTGAACGCATAAAAAAACGGGGCATCCATCTATAAACAATTCACCGTTGGTAATATGTGCCAATTATTAAATAGTTCCAGAAATTCGTTTCGAGCTACCCCATATGGAGCCCAAAGCAACTTATAGACGTCGAAGGTTTTTGCATTTTTCGGCGTTATTACTATCAGACTCCGGCATTGCACTTCCGGCGGCGACAGAGAAAGCCGCCCGCACGGTGGTGGAGAATTTGGTCCAAGGCGATGGGAGGACGATAAGCTTCATAACAACGACATTATGGCTGCCTTCCCAAAATTCTACTTGCATCTCGACTCGAGTGTGCGCAATCATTGTTGTCCTTCAACAGCTGGGGATAGGGAAGCGAATATTAGCTAAGCATTCTGCATTGCGGCAGTGCCTGGATTTCGCATAACCAGCCACAATAGAGGCTTGGACAAGCAGTGGGGCTGAGCGATCAACTTGATACTGGCTGTGAGAGCTTCCCCCCCCCCCCCAGTTATCGCGCGTATATGCTAACTCCGTTCGAGTATGATGGTGCGCTAGACGGGAGGATTCGGATCGAGAACAGCGTTCTGAAAATGACTTGGCTGAAGCATGACGCTACGGAGGAGTTGAACTCCCAACACCACCATCTAGTTACTTCCTAACTACCGTTTTCACGAGACAAGAAACGCTCACCTGATACAGTCAGGAAACGACTTAACCATAGTCTGTGTTCACACCAAAAACAGAGAACTTGGGAAGGCGATCTTCGATATCCCTCTTGCTCGGGGTACAGAGTAGCATGTGGATAGGGTGAAGTGGGATCTTGCTCCCAAACCCTTGGAAAATAAACATCGAGGATGTTTTTTTGGAGAGCCCCCCGCCTTACACGGCTGAAACTCCGGCTTTTCCGAAATAGGCGAATATCCAGGAAGCATTCAGCTCGTCCAGCATCATGGAGGGACGGTCCATGCAAAGAAGCCGCTGGCAGCTTCGAGGAACGGACAGGAAATGGGAATGCACAGCGAACTCAGGTTGGAACAACCGCGCAGAAGTGAGCTTGGCGAGGCTTTGCCCGTCGTATCCCAGCTGAGCATGACGCGAGTGGGTATCAGGGCGGCGAATGAGGTTGGGCTGAGACGGATGATTACGGTGCGTGTGGCTGCAATCTGGGTGTGAGCAATGAGTACTCCGTAGAGGCGGGAAATTGCTGCGCATGCATGTCCCTTGCGCTCTGCGAAGAAGGCCAGCAACAGCAAGTTGCTGCGCATAGAGGAGGATCAGAAGTTAACTGAGGCACTCTAATAATAATAAACGGTACTAGTCCTACGTAAGGATGCACGCTGCCATGGGCTATGTCGATAATAGGCCTGAGCTGACTAGCGGGGTCTCGTCATCCGATTTTGATATACATATATAAAGCGGGGTCTTCCTCTTGCTGCCTTCATCCTTTCCATCACCATCACCATTCAACTACTTCACATTCCCAACCATCATCCGTCCATCACCATCTTCTAGACGACCAGTCGCCTCTACGAGAAGACCAACCACCAACAACTACCTCTATATTCTCACATAACCACATATCCAAAAGAAAGAAAAAACATGTCCGGCTACGACTACAACCAGCAGCAGGGCGGCTACGGCCAGCAGTCTTATGGCGGCCAGCAGGGCGGCTACGGTCAGCAGCAACAAGGCTACGGCCAGCAGCAGGGCTATGGCCAGGACCAGTATAACAACCAAGGACAGCAGTACCAGCAGGGCGGCTACGGTCAACAGCAGGGTGGCTACGACCAGAGTGGCTACAACCACCAGCAGCAGTCCTATGGACAGCAGGGCCAGGACTACAACCAAGGCCAACAACAGCATGGTTACGGCGGCCAGCCTCAGTACGGGTAAGTACCAGAGCAAGAGTCACAATTTACCCCGCCCCCGCCTCTCCTATAAGGCTGATGCTCACATAAAATTCGTATCAACAGTCAAGAACAGGGTGCTCCAGGCGGCGCTCAGGAGGGTGAGCGTGGAATCGGAGGTGCTCTTGCTGGCGCTGCCTCTGGTGGCTTCCTCGGAAGCAAAGCCAACCACGGCATCCTAGGAGCCATCGGAGGAGCCATCGCCGGCCACTTTGCCGAAGAGAAGCTCAAGAAGCACGGAGATGGCCACAACGGAGGCGGTCATGGAGGCAGCCATGGCGGCGGAAACCCTCTTGGTTCCATGTTCGGCGGCAAGCACTAAACTGCATAACTACCCCCCGTTTTACTTGACTTACCGTGGGTCTGAATCCGGAGGTAGATCTGATCAGGGCGGAGAGGAAGATGAAGCGATGCGGAGGAGGCAAAAACCACGCGAGCGGACACTTATGGCATGCCTTGTATATGACTCTCCTATGTGCAGATATAATTTGTCTAAATACTTTTTTGCGTTCTGATTGATTGATTTGATCAAAACGGTTGTTTTCCGTTCCCTGTTCGTATGACCCATGTTGATATCTGGCAGCCGTTCCAGCACAATACTTTGTCACTTTTTCCCCTGACACTTATGATATGACAACTGTATTTATTATTAATTCTTATGCATGTGTTTTACTCCAGAGATATTGACATGCCCCATAAACCCCTCCCTTGAATTAATATTAACCCCTAAGACCCCCAGAATCTGCCTGTGATTCGGAGATGACGGACAGGATGAACCATGGATAGAAGTTGAGCACCTCGATCCAGTCCGATATTCGGTATATCAAATCAGAATGCGCCGATGTAAAATGCCCCTTGGTACGGAGTACCTAATGGACTCTTCGCCAACCAGCAGCCCGATATCCAGCATTCATGGCTCATTGGAGATCTACACGGGGCGCCGGCATGCATGGTACCCATGTTTGACTTGTCTATTGCAGCCACACAGCGATATCTCCCGCCTGCAGCCCAGCGAAGCCGCCTCCCAAAGGCGCTCCCGGGAGATCAGAGAGCAATGCGAATCATCTTCTAGTTAGCCAAGTGGAGATTCTGCTTCTCCCAACGCCCTCGATCAAAAAAAAAAAAAAAAGGGCAGATTGATACGAGCCGATCCAGCCCTGTGGCGTTCAAACATCAAAGAAAATAGATATCGCATGAAGGAAGCGGGATAAAGCAGAAATTCGCCGATCCAGGGGTATTGCAATATATATTTTATTTTTTATTTTATTTTTTTTTTTTTTTTCCCTAGAGTTTAGTATGATCATCTTTCGAGCCGATATTACCGTCCCTTGCGCGAAAAAAAGAGCGGCGGAGGCCAAAATTGGACGCTGTGGACTGGTCGTATTTTGAGAAGAGAAATAAAGGCGTTGGCAGGATGGTTACTTTGGCAGGTAGCTGGAGTACAGAGCATTTGGCTGGCGACTTAAGGTGACACCTGGAGAAGTGTCATACAAGCTGACGGCGACGTTGCAGAAGCGCCGGGACGGACATGCCGGAGCCAGAGGCTGCAGGCTGCATGCTACATGTTGGCTGTACGCCGTACGCTGTACTCTTATGACCAGCGCAGAATTCCGGCGTACAGACATAGAATGCTTCTTCGGGGCTCTCTTGGGTCTGGACGTCATCTGTGCTCCGTCCAGGATCTGTTAATTTTTTGTCCCTTGGTGTCCCGTAAATAGCTCCCGGGATCAATTTGATAGACACTAGTTATATATAGAAAGGATGGACATCGCCTCAGAGGAAAAAAGGAACCCGAATTAGTCGTATTTTTTTCAGTGATGCCCAGCAAAAAAGAAATGGGTGGTATTGTACATCAACGGCCAGGGCCCATGAATAGAAAATAAGTATAAGTATATAAGGTGTAGCTCCCACGGAAACGCAGGCCAAATGGTCGAGAAAGGATAAGGGAAAAAAAAATAAAGAAAAAATAAAAAATAAAAATAAAGCAATGCGAGCAGACATTATATCATGCAACTGAACACCGTCCCAAACCTTCTAGTAGGTCACTGGCTCGTACATCTATACCCCCGGTGTCTTCGTCTTCTATGCCAAAGGCAATGAACAACACGTCATCACTGTAGCCATGGTATTTCTGGCCGTGCTTTTTCCAGCTTATGGAAGTGATGTAGAACATCTCAGTCTGGCTCCAGACTCGGGCTTCTTCGGGCGTCAGACCCGGCGGTTTCTTGCCCTCTCCAGCCTTGCCGCGGCCATGGATCCAGATGGGCTTTGATGATATCCCGTACAGCTCGAAGGGGGCACTCTGGCGGAAGAGCATGGCGTAGGGCTCATACACGCTGTGGAAGGAGTAGAAGCTCTTGTGCTGGAAGATGGTCAGCACAAAGGTGTTCTCTTCGTTGGGCTTGCACTTCGGATCTGTCCGGTTGCAGAGGGTGATGGCCAGCGAGTTTGTGGCCTGGTGGATGGACTCGAGCTTGGGCGGCAGACGAGGCATGTACCGCCGCAGACACCGGTTGTCCTGGGGGGCCACGGCGGGCGCGAGATCCGGTCCTACCGCACCCGTGTACTCTAGTTTTGCGAAGACTCGTCGGGGAGCCACGTCGTAGTGGGCGTACATCTGGCCATCCCTGTCCCAGAAGACGAACCAGTTCTTCTCGATGGCGCCGTACGCCGTCGGCCGTTGGATCTCCGTAGGCACGCGGAACTCGTTCTGGAAGAAGTGCTCGTACCCCCAGTCCATGAGCATGCGGAAGTCCTGCACCCACTGCCCGAAACAGGTGAAGACGGAGTTGGAGCCGTAGATGGCCAGCGGGAAGCGTGGCCCGTAGAAGACGCGGGCATCATGGGGCCCGATATTGAGGGCAAAGAAGGCCAGGTCGCCCGTACACTTGTTGCGGTCTCCTACGGTAGCGGCAATGGGCATGTTCATCGGCGGGCTGACGCACTCCAGGCGGCCGCTCGTCTTGAACATGGCGTTACACACGAGCTCAGCAAACCAGACGGTGTTCTTGATCGTGTCCCGGCGGTTCATATGCTGTGCTGAGATCACCCAGGTGTCGTTGAGCTGCGGATGGGGGATGATGCTGGGGTTCGTAGCCGGCAGCTCGCCGAACTTGATGCGAAAGAACCTGCGGTCCGGCGTCGACAGCGAGAAGACCTCGTGGTGTGTCTTCGCGACGTCGGACGCGGTCTTGGGCGAGGCGGCCGGCGATGGCTTGTTCTTCTTATTATCATTATTTTTGTCATTATTATCGTCAAAGGAGGGCAGCGAGCCCTTGAAGCTGTCTGTGAGCGACCATCCGGAGCGTGCGCTGCCAAAGTAGGTGGCGGCCACGAAGGCGAGCAGCAGGAACAGGGCCACCGGGATGAAGAGTCGCTTGAGCCCGCGGACTAGCATTGCCTATCGAGCACGTTAGGTCAGGTCAGGACGGCCGTTTTCCCCCTTTCACATCGTCGAGTCTCAGTCGAGGGAGAGAGATAGTAGGAGGTAGTAGTACTCTGTGCTTGTCGTCTGCTTTGTTTGTTCGGGCGGTTATACGGGGAGGCGCAGAGATATCAAAAAGCATCGCAACCCGCGGCGGCCCAGCGTGTGCAGCTCAACTGCCCGCGACCATCGCCCTACACGCAGCTTTTCTCCCTTGGAACGAGCAGAGTTTTTCTTTTTTTTTTTACTTCTTTGCTTCTTTCTCCCGTCTTTTACTCAGCAGAGGCCGTTACCCAGCTTACGTGGGATTCTCCATGTATATATTGGTGAATGGCCCGAGGAGTGGTTCGTGTCGCCTACCAAATTTCCCCAGGGCCAATTGGAGCGCCCCAACGCATGGAGAAAAGGGGTTGGCCAAGGGGGTTCCGCAGTGGACAGGGCAAGCCACGAGCAGGAGTCCCATCGGATTATAGTACGCACTGTATGTAAAGTATTATTATTATTGCTCGATGCCGATGAAGTTATGGGGCCTGGATCTGCTGTTGGTGGTGGGCGGGCGAGGGCGGGTGCAAAAAGCAAGGGGGCCCTCGGGATCCCTGCAAGCCTCTCTCGGACGTGTTACTCGATTTGATACATAATTTGCATGAGCCCCATGAAGACAAAGTTCATTTCCGTGATAGCGCCTGAAAATCTCTCTATATATACACAGGATGATACTGGATTCGTCACGCTATGAACATGTGAAACTGCTGCTGCTTCGTAAAAAGAAAAAAAAAAAGGAACCCAAAAAGACAACAGAATCTAATCAAACGGAAGGGGGGGCATAAACGGGCCTCCCAAAAAATTGCAAAGAGCGAGAAAGAGAGAGAGAGAAAGGAATCGATCACATAGCTTTGGCGGCAGGCGGCAATGTCTTGGAATAAGCCCACTGAGCGAACTTGACGCTGGGTCCGTCGAAAAGCTTAGTGACAATCTCCGCAAGCCAGAGGGTGAGCGGAAGGAGAATAAGTTGTGGAGCAAGGAATCCAACCTCAAGGCCCAGTGGGCCATTCGTGGGCAGAGGGAATCGATTGATCCATCCAGGGATGGTTTTGTGGTGCGCATCCTTCACCCAGCCCACTGCGGAATAGAGGCGGTCTCCCAGAATCCAGAGAACGGGCCCGTGGACGAGGTAGAGGGCGAAGGAGACGCGGCCGAGATACTGGTTGAATCTGAGCTCGAAGAAGCTCTGCAGAGGGCGGATGCGAGATATCGAGGAGACGAGGAAGACGGCCGCCCAGAAGAGGTAGAACCATTTGAAATCGAAAACCGCCTGGGGTTTCAGGTAGGAGAGCCAGTTCCAGCCAGGAGACTCCTTGAGCAGCGCAACGTCGAAGCTGTGGGACGGACAGCCGCCAAGGTACATGCTGATCACGAAGAGACTGTAGAAGAATGTCTCCTTGTAGGGTTGTAGGCGGTAGAAGAACCTGGGCAGGTTGTTGCTCTCCGCGAGCAGGTCGAGGTCAGACAGGTGCATGCCAGCAACGAACATGGCGCACAGTGCTCCGTCAGCAATGTACATGAAGTAGATGAAGAGGCCGATCTCGCACAGCAGGCGGGCGTTCCTCGAGGCCTTGGAGAAGGCCAGTAGCGCAGTGTAGATGACAATCGAGCCCTTGAACTCGACCGGAATCGACCACGCATGGAAGTTGTAATGGAACCAGGGCTCGCCGCCGGTTCGGTAGATAAAGCTGAAGTTCTTCATCTCGCAATACCACTTCCACACCTCGTCTTTGTAGCTCCCTTGCGGATCAGGAACCGCCGTTATCCCAAACATATGCCATATTGTCATGTATATGAAGGTCGTGGCCATGACCGGTAGGTAGAGTCGAAGCCATCGTCGAAATAGGGCGGAGGCCAGGGTATCTCCAAGCTTGAGATAGTCGCCTGCCTGTATCAAGCTCAGCGCTTTCACCGACAGCACATAGCCCGAAAGCACGAAGAAGACGCTGACCGCAAAATGGCCGCCGGAGAAGAAGGTCCGTATCCCAGGCAAGGCAATGAAGTGGTGCTTGCCTTTGTATCCGTATGCGTTCTCGAATATGGGATTCTGCGTTATCGCATCGTGAGCCCAGAGCTCGTGGTGGCCGAAATAAACGAGCAGGGCTGCGAATCCTCTCAAGCCATCGAGGTAGCTGGTCCGTCCCATCTGTTTCCGCCGGCCCTTCGTCGTCAGGATAGACGGTCGCACTATGTCAAGAAACCATCGCAATGCACCGGAAAGCCGAGACGGTTTCGACTCTGCCCCGGTGGGCTCCTGCCAGTACTGCTTCTCTAATATGTTCCCCGGTAGAGCTGACATCTTCAAATGCAGCCGGTGGTGTTCCTGGCTGTCCTTCGAGCTCCCTCAAGGGATGAAGATGGATAATAATAATAAATAAATTAGATATATGGAAAAAAAAAAAATTAAGAGAGCCGATAAATTTTCCTTCCTCCCTTCCGGACCTTCGATCCAGGCTTCGCCAGCTAAGGTTGATGTCGAACGGCGAAAAGGAATGGTGGAGGAGAGGCGGAGGAGGAGAATATCTTGATCAAGATCTGGGGTTAAAGCAAACCGAAAAACCCTTCCCCCCCCTTGGGTTCCCATCTATCATGCGGAGTTCGTACGGCTCAAAAAAAGATTAATTCGGTTGACGTATTTCGAGGAGCGAGCACATTCGGTTTCACACTGTCTGGAAGAAGCAACGAAGGCGAAAAAGCAACGAAAGGCCATCCAAATATCACAGGCAAAGTCCGCCAGGTGCCAAGGAGTGTCATATTCCAGTAAATCAGAGGGAGCTGGCCGGTACTTTAGGGGTTCACATGCCGAGTCGTTCCTGTTCCTCGCCCTCGTTGCCTGTCCATCTTTTTGCCCTCGCCCGCCCCTTGGCCCTGGTCTGGCTTTGCCCTGGCCCGAGAGGCAACAAGGTCTCCCCCGGAGCTTCCAGGAAAGGATGCCCGTATCCAATCCCTGGCGCGGTGGAGATTGGCTTCCTGATTTCTTTTTCGGCTTTGCCTGATCCACCCCTTTTTTTGACTTTTTTTGCCATCCAAAATTTTCAGTTAGTCTAATTGAGCTTATCCCGAGCCATACAAGCGGAAAATAATATCAACAGCTCCCTCGGCCATAAACCAAAAAAAACGGCAGTTTTCCCCCTTCTTTCGATCGGAAATCGACCGTGGATACCTTGACCGGAGGCGCTTACTTCGATTTTTTTCCTTGGTCCCCCAGGTCTTCTCAATTCCTCTGACCTGAACAACCTTCTTTCTCTCTTTTTCTCCTCCTTCTCCTTCTTCCTCCACCCCCCGCACATGGCAATCGCCGCTTCTCGTCTTTAAAAAATCATGATGAAGCCGCTTTCTCCTTTCCTGAACCGTACTCCTGTGAGTATTCGTTCAGCAATAGATCAAGCAATGGGGGCAGTCAAGACCATTGCACCCAAGTTTGGAGGCTTCCTGCCACGGCAGATGAGAAGAGCTCTGGTAGGATGCATCTCCTGTCTGGTCATCGTCATTTACCTTTCAGTTGCTGGTGCCTTCTCCGAGTCGAAAAGCGAATATTCTCACAGTCTCGCTGCCCCAACAATGGAAAAGTTTCCCCGCAAAATCTGGCAGACTTGGAAGGTTGACCCTCTGGATTTCGACAAACGAGACTTGGATACCGCAAAGAGCTGGGTATCTAAGAACCCCGAGTACCGATATGAAGTTTTGACCGACCACAACGACATGTACTATGTTGAAACGCACTTTGGCCCTGAAGGCTTCAACCGACCGGACATCGTCGATACCTACCGCCAGCTCACTGCTAAGATCATCAAGGCTGATTTGCTCAGATACCTCGTCATGTATGTTGATGGCGGTGTCTATACCGATATTGATGTCGAGGCAATCAGACCAATCAAGCGATTCATTCCGGAGCGGTACAACGAGAAGGACATCAACATGGTCATCAGTGTCGAGATCGATGAGCCAAGCTTCAGTGACCACGCCATCCTGGGCCAGAAATCGAAGTCCTTCTGTCAGTGGACGTTCATGTGCAAGCCCAAACTCCCCGTTATGATGAGACTTGTCGACAACATTCTCAAGTGGCTCAATGGTGTTGCAAAGAAACAAGGCAAACCTATATCAGAAATTGTCCTAGACTTTGACGAAGTTATCAGTGGCACTGGGCCGTCTGCCTTTACCAACGCAATCTTGCAAGAGATGAGCGAGAATGTTGGTGAGCCCGTCAAATGGGACACCTTCCATGATATGCATGAATCTAAGCTCGTAGGAGGCTTCCTTGTCCTCACCGTCGAAGCATTTGCCGCTGGACAGGGCCACTCTGACTCTGGGAACCACAATGCCCGAGCTGCTCTTGTCAAGCATCACTACCATGCATCTGAATGGCCAAAGAATCACCCACGATACAACCACCCTGTGTATGGTGAAGTTGAAAAGTGCAACTGGGATAGAGGTTGTGTCGAAGAATGGGATAAGAACACTGCCGCTTTCAAGGAACTCTCGCCCGAAGAACAAGCCAAGAAGATAGCTCTTGCAAAGCTCGAAGTTGACGCTCCTCCACCCAAGGTGCCTGAGGTCCCAACATGGAACCAGCCTCTACCAGGAGCGGTACAGCAGCCCAACGGACAACCCCAACCCCCTCAGGTCCCCCAGCAGGTACCAGTTGAAGGCCAGCCCATTATGCAAAACCCACCCCAGCAGCAGCCACAGCAGCCAGGCCAGCAGCTCCCGCAACCCCCAATGCAACCACAGCAGCCAGGCCAACAGGTACAGCAAGCACCGCCCACGCAACAGCAGCAACCCGGACAGCAAATCCCGCAAGCTCCACCACAGCAGCAACAGCCAGGGCAACAGTTGCAACCCCAGCCTGGACAGCAGCTACAACAGCCACCCACGCAGCAGCCACCAACGCAGCAGCAACCGGGCCAGCAGCAACCAGGGCAGCAATTCCAGCAACCACCACCACCACAGCAGCAGCAACCTGGTCAGGCGTTGCAACAGCCACCACCACCAACACAGCAGCAGCAACCGGGGCAGGCGTTGCAACAGCCACCACCACCAACACAGCAGCAGCAACCGGGGCAGGCATTGCAACAGCCACCACCACCAACACAGCAGCAGCAACCCGGACAAGCGTTGCAACAACCACCCCCGCCACAACAGCAGCAGCCCGGACAGCAACTGCAGCAACCTCCACCCCAGCAACAACAGCCTGGACAGCCATTGCAACAGCCACCACCACGCCAGCAACAACCCGGACAAGGCCCGCCTGAACAGCCCAAGGCACCTTCAGATAATGAACAACAACCTAAGACGCCCCAGCCTGATGCACCTGCATCTCCAGACGGACCAGAAAAGCTTGATGATAAAGACCTCAAGGAAATTGCGGATCTCAACGATGAGCTCAACAACCTCGAAGGCTCTGAGAAGAAAAAGCGCGACCCCAAAGCTGAGCCTTGAAGGGTTGCTGAGGTTGCGTGACAACATTCCATGGCTGCATGATATCGGAGTATCTTCATCCACCGCTTTTACCCCTATTTCTATTGGGTTCCTGTCGTCATGATAGGCATCATAAAGCCAATTGGGGGCGGAATATCGCCGGATGAGATAGATGTATATCCCCGCTCGTCTGAGTGGACGTGTGGTGTGGTAGCTGGCTTACACTTCCCAGCACGGCGCGGTACATGACACGCCCTTTATCAGCCTAAAGCAGTCCGAGTATATTCGAGAAGAACGGTGTTTGAACGGCGTTTATGGGTCATATCGAAGGGAAGCGCGTGATGAATATGGATACCTAAAGATTTCTGATTTCATTCCATTTCCTTTTGTCTTCCTTTCTTTTTTTTTTTTTTTTTTTTTTTTTCTGTCTTATTCTTAATATTCTGAACTCTGATAGCGGTTGGTTATGTCTTTATGCGGGGATTTATTAGCACGTTATAGACTATCATTGTCAGTTATCACGGCCTCCAATTTGAATGTGTTATAATGTTGAATATAACCTGTTAATAGCAAATGAATATTGGAGACGAGGGTCTCGTATTTGAACTTTCGCTCATTTCGTGGTTCAAGGACATATTTCCTGGGCTAACAATAAAGTAACCCTCATACCTGAGCTCTCTAGATGAACCTCACTGCGCAAGGGCATCGTCTTGCTCTGTAGAGCCTTTCAAGCCCGCTGCCCTCAGGTTTACTTGTCGTTAGAAGTTCCTTTTCAGATGTTCGAAATTCCGAAGCTAAAATAGGCTGCTTATGTAATCAGAAATTTCTCAAACTTCTCAAATGCTTTCTTCGCTCTCAAAAGAGCCGTTCTACCCCAGCGCAAGATCAGCCCAGCCCACAAACGACAGAGATGATATTAAGACGGTTCGCCATAAGGCAAGGTAAGTCTTTGCTCTTCAATTTAGTCCCTCAGCTGTCTCAATTGCCGGACTAACCACCGGATCTCTTGCAGCGCGCTCCTTTGCGCAGAACAGCCGTCAAAGACCCTTTCAGTCCCGATTTTTGTCCAGCCAAATTCCTACCGATACCATCCCTGTGGCTGAGTTAGAGGCAACTGAATCTGTACAGGCCAAAAGTGTCAACCCGGAAGAGACTGTTTCATCGGCATTGGCTCAGCACAGAGCCAGTGTAGTAACTAGTATGTGCGAATGAGGTTTCCGGTTGCAGCTTATCCTATTTATAGCGTTCTCCTGAAGGAAGAAGAAATCTTGAGCCAGTAAAAGATTGACTGACGTTCCTCCTATCTTGACAGAAAATAAATTCAACCGACTCGGGTCTGATATTAGAAACAATTACCGGCCTGAAGATCTAATCTCCAACCCTCCCAGAGCTTCTGATGTCACTCTCGAACTCCTTCTCGCCTCCCAGGCCCATATAGGACATTCAACTTCTCTCTGGAACCCCGGAAACTCGGGTTATATACATGGTATTCGAGAGGGAGTTCACATTATTTCTCTTGACGTAACTGCAGCTCATTTACGGCGAGCAGCCAAAATTGTCGAGGAAGTTGCTCGAGTCGGAGGTTTAATTCTATTCGTTGGCACGAGAAAGGGTCAGAAACGAGCAGTTGTGCGTGCTGCTGAACTAGCGCAGGGTTGCCATGTCTTTGATCGCTGGGTTCCAGGATCCCTCACCAACGCTATGCAGCTCCTGGGTAAATGCGAGGTTAAACTCGTTGATGCCCTTGATAGAACTGTGGATTATCCCGGGTTTCAGAGTGTTGATATCGAAAGATGCCCATTGAGACCGGATTTGGTGGTTTGTTTCAACCCCCTTGAAAATAAGCCTTTGCTCCAGGAATGTGCTACCATGAATATTCCCACCATCGGAGTTATCGATACCGACGCAGATCCCACCCGAGTCACCTATCCTATACCCGCAAATGATGACAGTCCCAGATGCATAAGTGTTATTGCAGGTGTCCTAGGAAGGGCTGGAGAAAGAGGGCAGCAAGTGCGGTTGAAACAGTCAGCTACTGGAGATTTACCTTATACACCTATCAGACTTGGTATCTCAGAAAACAAGGAGTCTTAGGCTACCGGTTTTGCTCCTCCTTCGAAGATTTCACCCGGTTCAAAGGCTCATGCTATGAATTTCAAAGTTAGCAATGTACAATACTATAACTTTTTCTTATTGTGTATTAACTATGGTACTGTCGGTTATTCAGCTAATCTGGGGGCCATGTGTTTCTTCTTCTGTTCTGTCCTGTTGGCCTCGAGTATCGGAACGTCGGGAAGCCATTTCCTTGGGTTTTATATTTTGACTTTAAACAAACAGATAAACAAACAGAACCAGCAGATGTTGCCATGTCACCTACCATCAAACCATAATAACTCAGAAAGCTGGTTGAATACAGCCACTGCAGCTGCAACCCATGGGTACATATGGGCAACGACGTCATACTACCTTCTACCTTCTGAAAATTCCATATCCTTAAAATAAGCAAGAGTATTCTAGGGTGTTCAATATTGGAAGTTACCTCCACCACATAAACAAGAAATCTCAAATCTCAACTGAATAATTTTCCTCCGATTATCGATTGTGTTATATCCGGCCCATTATACTCGGCTTTCATGATGGAACTGGGCTTCGGTGATCAAGATCTTATCTACGAAGAAGAGGCTAAAAGGCTAGCTAAATCAGCTCCAGTGCCCCGGTCTATGTGCCTGTCATGTAGCAAGCTTGTCGCAGAATATCCCATGCTAGAGTGTTCTCAGGCTCATCCATCAACAAAATGCTTCCAATGTGTCAAAGCCAACAAGTCGTGCCATACTATTCCACCACAGTTCCGAGGTGATCTCGAACGTATTCAGGCTTTTGCACGAGAAATCCATGTTAGACCGTCGCAAAAAGCAACCGAACAGCTTCAAGAAATTACTCGGAAATATGTTGCGCGTATCGAAGCATACGAGCTTAAGGAGCCTACGTTAGAGGTGTATGCACCGTATCCAGTACCCCGATCAATCCCACTTCCCATCCCGATCGACTCCCCGGTCAAGGCTGTAAACCCCATGAACTCATCAGTTTCTACAGAAGATGGGTTAGCCTCGAAGGCTCGCGATCTTCAGCAGGTCAACCACATGCTGAATAAAATAATGGAGCTTGTATCGCGAAACATAGACTTACCCTTGGAGAATGGAAATATTGAGAAGAATTCAGAATCTACTTGGCTACACGTTAACCAGGGAACCATACACGGGAATAATGTTAATGAAGCTCCAAAACAACGTCATTGATGACCTGCGTTCGATCACTGTATGGTTGGTTCTATTACCCATTATACAAACGCAATCCTATTGATTTACTCCCTATACCATCACTATCATGTCAAGCATGCTACAAAGGAGACTCAGCCCGAGCTTAAGGTAAGAAAATACACTTGAAAATCTTGGTAACTTTTTCATGAATTACATGGGCTAGTAGTATGGGCTAGTAGTTATCATTTCAAATTTTGGCTAACTAAGCTCATTCAGTAACTACCTGGCAGGTCAAAGCGAGACAGCAATTTCCATGTATCAAATCGTCCTGTATCCGGGGACCTTCCTCGAACTGCAGAGGCCTGAAACGGGCAGTTATTTTTCGATTACATGTCGATTTTGTATACATTCGGTGTTTTCTGGCTCATAGAGGCTTGTTGCCTTAGCTCCAAGGGTTGATGGCGTGTGTATTGACCACATTATTCGAAAATTACATTACTTTACTCATTCCCTCTGAACATTAAGTTACGTCGGCCGAAACCACAGTGCAAAAAATGGCGTATGCTACCAAAAACAATTGATCATCGAGAGAATGTGAAGCTCTTCTACACTCCATGCAAAAAGAATAGACTAATTAATTTAGCTACTTATTGGGCGATGAATTAAAGTTGGTTAACTTTCCACGTTTTTGCCAACCTTATTTTAAGTTTAGCAGCTCGAAGATTGCCAAGACTGGATTATGCACAGCGCTCTGGGACAGGTGATTGTCCGTGAACGTACGCAGCTTTTGCAAAAAACTCTACTGTTACATCTAAATCCATTTCTATTGTATGGCTCAGAAAGATTTTATTCTAGCACGATATCACCAAGTTTCGTTGCCTCAAGGTGGCATATACCTCACCTATGCGCTGGCAGTAATCACGTAAGAGATGGCATGGTTGAAAGAAACAATCAATATTTATAAATCAGGTCTATAGGCTATCCCTGTAGTTAAAAAACGAAAAATACACATATCCGGTCAAAAACAGAGCATTGAGACAAGTGTAGCCATACAGAATAGCGTCCAAATGCACAAACACGTCTACCTATCATATGTAGAGATACATAAATAAATCTAGAAGGGTATATGGGATAATATCCAGCAATTCTAGTTGCACACTTGTTGAAAACGTAAAGGGAATTCTCCCCGCCCAAGATAGTAGAGAAAAACAGGTAAAACAATAACAGGATGCATTCATTATCCCAAGGCTCTCTTGGTGAGTTCGAAACTATAAGATGCAAGTTAGCTTCAAGGTCACTAGCGGTAGAATCTGAAGGGAGAAAAGGAAACATACGCTGCGAAAGTGCCAGCCGACACGGGTGCAGCTCTAAGCAGTGTTGGAGCAATGCCTTTAACAAACCCTCTCATCCCCTCCTGGGCGAGCGTCTGTCTAAAGCAGTCTCTCATGTTTTTGTATCTCTGTTGTTCTCCAAAACCGTCACTCTGCATTTTACTCTTGACCACATCGAATGGATAACTTGAAAGCCAGAGCATTTCACCAGCCAAACCACCATATCCTGCTATTTTATAAGCAGGAATATCCTCACGCTTGGTATTTGTTCGCCTGGCTTCCCAGTCCATCATGTACTCGAAGGAAAGGAACCAAGTTCCATACGCTTGCGCTTCACGAAGAATTGTAACCGCCTCTCCACGGTAAAGGCCATTGAACAGTCCTCCTTGAGATGACAATTTCTTTATACAGTCCAGAGGCCCACTATAAAGTCTCCCTTCTCCATGAGGTTGGGTTTGGAGTCTGATACGGACGTGCTCAATCGGGCCAGAAATCACTGAATTGACAATTCCTGCAAAAGCACCAGACAAGTAATACTGAGAGTAAGATAGATGAGGATCCTTTGACCCTTTCTGGGTATTCATTCTTTCGAAATAACGACGGGCTTCATGGAATGCTCCAAATTGAACGCTTACCTGTACGAAGAGAAAAATATCAAGTTAGGTAGATGTAGTAATCAGAATTCACGGCCTATGCTGAGGGGAAACATACGCAGGCGCCGATACCAATCAATGGGGTCAAGGTCCCTTTGTAGAATGCGAGAGGGCCCTCCTTTGCAAATATCTTTGTAGCACAGTCCAGGGCATTAGAATAGTGCGTCGTAGTTTGCAACCGAACTTTGACAATATCTTGGTAATGATGATTTAGCCAGTGCTATTACGGCCAAGCTTTCTCGTACTTACCGAAGGGCTGTCCTATAAACTCTGTCAGTAACATGGTCCGATGAATTCGACAGGATAAAATACAAACCAAGAAGAACCTGTGCAATTCCTCCAACAGCACCTGATGTCAGATCTTTGATGGTCTGCATCGGGTCCTCCATTTCTCTTTTGTGTTCAGAAGCCATTGTTGCCGTGTTTCACCGATAGCCGAAGACGCCGGGGAGGGGAAGGAGATGGAGCAAGCGGTGTGAGGTAGAAATAAGCGGCCGTCTATCTGGTTAGCAGCAAATCAATACAAACAATAGAGGAAACACGCTGCTATTACACAATTGAACGTACCCTGAAGATATTTTCGGCCAACGACAAAAAATAATCACTTGACGGGGAAAAGCTGAACGATAACGAATTAGAAAGGACGAAAGGAGTAATCCGAATGGCGGGATAATATTACATAATCCGGGTTATCAATTGCGCGATAAGGCACTAGATTATATAAGCAACCTTAAACCTAATCGGAGCTTATTCGGGCCGATAAAAGTCTTGGCATTTAACATCCATGGAACTTTCATAGAAAGTTTTGGTCTTTTTGTGAGAGTCGATCGATGGAATAGATTGAACGTTCAGGCATTGCAGACAAGAATGCGACACTGAAAGCATGCGCAGACACTCAATTTTGAAGGTGGGAACTGGACTGAAAGTCCTACACTTTATGGTGACACTACTGACGGAAATAATTGTTTTCTAGGGCATTCGGTGTCATTACTGCTGCTCTCCACGCCGGTTCCCCGTGAAGCCCGTCGGCAACCATAAGCTATCCGCACAACAATTGCGACAATTGAGCTCGAGCTCTAATACTGTAAATGGATCTGATAATAATAATAACAGCAATAAGACTCAACATTCCAATCCAACGTTCGGGCGTGGATGGGGTACACCCGCGTTTGGAGGTCAGGTGTCTTGTACACCCGCGGAGTTGAAACAGCGAGAGGCTTTGCTAGCTTCGCAAGTTTCTCAGAAACAATCGCATTCTACTGCAGAAAGTGAGACGAAGGTAAGTTCAATTTATGTCGCATTTCTGGGTTTAGTGTCGAAGTTGTCTATTTAGCTAATGTGTTCTGTTGCCATAGAACGGAAACACATCAAGGGAACAGCACGCTACATGGATTTGTGCTCAATGTCAAAAGGCCAATCCAGTCAAATCTGTATCTTGTCCTGACTGCAACTGGAAACCTAGCCGAGCCTACCTTACTTCGTCAAGATCACGACCTACCCAGCCGAAACCGTCTTCTCCTAAAACTTCACCCGGTAACGGGCAAACATCTAGCGACACCAGAAACGAAAAACAAAGCAAGTTTACAATTACAAGGAGTTGGGCCCCTGAGCAATCCCTATACAGGTCCGCTAGAGGTAGGCAACAACCGCAATCTACCGGGCAGTCATCGCGAGATTCAAGGTTGGGGGCATCTGGCGCATTGTCCAGGACCAGTGGAAACACAGATACGGATCACCAGGAATCTTGGCAGGAGACCGGGTTTAGAAGTATCTCACGGAAACCGCGCAGCAGTTTGGACTCTCAAAAACAAGACTCAAGTGTCAGTGGCTCATGGCAGCTATCAGGATTTAGAAGCCTCCCTCCACAATCTGAACAAATTCGGTCGTCAGATTTACCATCAGAATCCGAGGCGCCTCCTGTTAGATCCAAGCCTCGGAGAGATGAATTGGATTCTGGTAACTATACCAACGAAGATTACGTCGGTCGACAGTCCTCACGGGCCGTTCGTGGGAGAGCCAGAGATTTTACCCCGTCGTACGAAGACGCTGATAAAGAATTTTCCTCCAAACCTCGAAAACAGAAAGGTAGGCGTGCCACCACAGAGGATGATCTGGACGAGCCTCCAATACGGTCAAACCGTCGTGGTGCGAGCCGCGGACGGGATCTAGATATAATGGATCGTGATCTGGAATATGGGGTTGGCCGACCCAAGCGAAAAGACAAAAAAGATAAGAAGAAAGCAGCCCAGCGAGCACAGGAGCAGTCTGGTCCAACACCGATAGTGCTTCCAGATTTTATCAGCGTTGGAAATCTTGCAGATGCAATTAATGTCCGCCGCACTCAATTTATCAAAAGCCTAGAGAGCCTCGGATTTGATGATGTTACAAATGACCATGTTCTAGACTCAGAAACCGCTGGATTAATTGTCACTGAATTCAATTTTGAACCCGTGGCTGAGTCTAACGATATAGACCTGGTTGCGGCTCCGAGACCTGACGATACGTCCAATCTACCCGCAAGGCCACCCGTAGTTACAATCATGGGACACGTTGATCATGGAAAGACCACCCTTCTGGATTATCTTCGAAAGTCTTCCGTTGTTGCAACCGAACATGGAGGAATAACGCAACACATTGGTGCATTTTCGGTTACCATGCCATCTGGAAAACAAATTACCTTCCTTGATACCCCTGGACACGCTGCTTTCCTGGAAATGCGAAAACGAGGAGCGGATGTTACCGACATCGTAATTTTGGTTGTTGCCGCTGATGACAGCGTCAAGCCCCAAACAATTGAAGCTATAAAGCATGCAAAGGGCGCTGATGTTCCAATCATTGTTGCAATTAACAAAATCGACAAAGAAGACATCAATATTGACCGAGTCAAGCAAGACTTAGCTCGTCATAATGTCAGTGTCGAGGATTATGGCGGCGATGTCCAGGCAATCGGAGTCAGTGGGAAAACTGGCCAAGGAATGTTGAAATTAGAAGAGGCTGTCATTACGCTATCCGAGATGTTGGACCTTCGAGCTGATAAGGAATGCAACTTTGAAGGCTGGATCATCGAAGCATCCACTAAACGAGCAGGCCGGGCAGCAACTGTTCTAGTACGACAGGGAACGCTCCGCCCGGGTGATGTGATTGTCGCCGGAACTTCATGGGCTAAGGTTCGAACTCTGCGTAATGAAGCTGGTATTCAGGTTGCGGAGGCCCTTCCAGGAACACCCGTAGAAGTCGATGGCTGGAGGGATCAGCCAGTTGCTGGATTCGAAGTACTCCAAGCTCCAGATGAGCAACGTGCAAAGGATGTTGTTGCATTCAGAACTGAAAAAGAAGAAGTACAACGACTGGGTGGTGATGTGGAAGCCATCAACCAAACCCGTCGTGAGACGCGTGAGAGACGGCAGCTTCAGGCTGCTCTAGAAGAGAATGGTGACACATCTACTGATGCTGCCGACAAGGGCGGTCCTCAACCTATTCCATTTATTGTCAAGGCTGATGTCTCTGGTTCCGCGGAGGCCATAGTAAACGCTATGTCTGCTGTGGGAAACAATGAAGTTTTCGCGAAAATCTTGCGATTCAGCGTTGGAAAGATCGGAGAATCAGATATTAGACATGCTTCTGCTGCTAATGCTGCTGTTATCTCCTTCAACCAGTCTGTTGATCCCGACATTATGAAATTTGCTGTGGCAGAAGAAGTTGATGTCCTGAACCACAACATTATCTATGAATTGATTGATGATGTGAAGATGAGACTGAGTGAGCATCTTCCCCCAACCGTCACTCAACGTGTTTCAGGAGAAGCAGAAATTGGTGAAATCTTCGAAATCAAGCTCAAAGGGAAGAAGACCACCTTTGTTGCTGGATGCAAAGTCAGTAACGGCGTCATCAATCGATCTCACAACGTCAGGGTTTTGAGAGGGAAGAATATTATTTATGATGGTATGCTTTCCCATACGTCTCTTATTACTCTCTAACTCTGTAATTGCCTACTAACCAACTCCGCTCCAGGAACCCTTTCATCTCTGAAGAATGTCAAAAAGGATGTGACTGAGATGCGAAAAGGCACAGAGTGTGGCATGGCATTCGAAGGGTGGGCTGACTTTGCTGTTGGCGATGAAATCCAGACATATGAAGTGGTTCGTGAAAAGCGTCTCCTTGACTAGAGGCAATTAACTCGGTGTTGAAAGTGTGGAGGTACCCATTTTCCATTTATCTCATGTATAACAATATTTTATAGACGGATTCTTTCAGGCTGCAGGTGGGAGCATGTTGTAGCCCACCCCATTCCCCCCAATTCCCCATTGATAGACCTTATTCTTCGAGATCTTGTATTATATTACCCCTATCATGTCACCCTTTCTAATGCTCTGCACTCATCGTGGTATGATCAAATTCCATCGCCACCCTTGACTGTTATTTGTCAAACTCAGGAATCGTATGTATCCAGCCTACTCGGGACGATATCGTTTCATGGCTACTGTGCTTAACATTTTTCTGTTTTCCTCCTTGAATATCGAAATCACAAACATCAACCTTGTGGTATGTAAAACAACAACACGGATCTCATAGCAAACACACACGTAAACGTAAACAAGCATTCAGACCATTAGTACATCAGGCTAGATCAACTTCTTTTGCCTTTTTGTTTCCTTTCTCTTTCGGGCCAGCTCCTTTGCCCTTTTTCGCCTTGCTGATACCGGCGCCTGTTTTGTCACTTGTTCCTTTCTTTTCGCCTGTCTTGGCTTTGGACGCTCCAATGGGGCGGGTCGGTGTCTAATGCGTAGACTTCAAATTAGCCACCATATCTCTCTTTTGTGTTCTTTCTCTCTCTCTCTCTCGCTTTGGAGGGGTTGTGTGCTTCATAACAAGGAGTCCTACCTTTGTAGGGAGGTAGAATGTGCCTTATATTAGAAAATCTGTGAAACGTACCTGTTTCTTAGGACCACTACCTCGATTGTTGTTCGCAGGGCCTGTTGACTTTAATATACCGGGCTTTGGGACAGTAAAGATGGCTGGTGTACGGACTTGTCTTGGACCACTGATTTGTACACCGAATGCCGTGACCACTGAATCGTCAGAATAAGATGAGTCAAAATAGTCCTCATCGTCTAGTGGATCATTCACCACAAAATCTGTTGCTTGCGCTGCATAGTCGCAGTCATCTTCGTCTTCTGTTTCATCCATGTGATCGACGGTGAGGCTCTTTTTCTGAACAGGGGTTGTATTGGGGGTGGGATAAGTTGAGCATGAAGGTGGGCTAGAGGGATGAAAGGAAGGCTCTTCATGATGAGGACTCTCGACATCGGTCGGCTCAACGTTAACAAGCTCCTTGTTAATTGATGAAAAAGATGGGGCTGTGGTTGGATCAGATGTAGCACAGCCAGGATTATCATTCGGAAGGTCTTCTTCGCTTTCTGCAGCGTCTGAGGCTTCGGACTCCTCACTGGATATGGATGTAAGGGAGTCAACGGTAGTAGTGCCTTCGAGATCATGGAGGAGGGACATCTTGGGCTTCAACTGGGTGATTGATGAGTCTGGCAGGCTATGGAGGAACTGCTGGCCAAACCAGTAGATGTCGAATGTGTTGGTATGCAAGACCTGACGAGTTTAGCTACCTGTTAGCTGTGCAATATGAGCTAGTATTGATTCATACTCACCATCGAGTAGAAGATGATCCGGAAAGTAGTAGGGAACTCTGAATTGTCGATTCCCTCCAAGATCTGGAGCTCAATTTTCTTTCTCGAGATCCTATGGATCTCGTTCTTTGCAACCATGCGCTTGATAGTTTCATTTGCATGGTTTAGATAGATCTCCGTGAACATATCAACCTTGGAGACAACCATTAGTTAGTTTCGCGAGAATTGAGTAGAAGAGGTCAGTCAAAAGTGTTTCGTACCTTTCGAGTAGAAGAAGACATGTTTCTTGGTCTGCTTCAGGAGAAAACTTGCTGGCAGAGGGGACTGAAAGTAGAGAAAGTTGTAAATCTATCAGGAACGGCGGTATTGGTGCTGTCAACACTGTATGCTGCTTGTCGGTGGTGTGCCAGAAGAACTGCTGTCAAGGATAAGAGAATTGAAATCGAAGGTAGCGAAAGCCTTATTTATAGAAGATACGGAGTCCTGTGGCTGGGGCTGACTCCGCCAAATCTGGAGGACAGCTGTATAGGCACAATAGCGTTCAGCAGGAAGAAAGAGATAGAAAGAGCCATTTAATAGGCACGTGAGAAGCTAACAACACAAGATGGTATTGATTTCATCAACACAGAAGGGATGGTGATTGAGACAGTCAGGCCTCGTAAGCAAAATATCACGTCTGGGCCATTGAAGCGAAATTTTTAACTTCATATTCATGAAGTAGTATGAACACACGTCGCATAGAAGGTGAATAGCTCCGGACTATTCAATCAAATCATGCCAGACATAAGACATCAGCTAGGTAGGATGGCCTGACAAGAGATAATACAAAGCCAATTCCAAAGTAAGAGAGAGAAATTGATATTAATTCCCAGAGAAAACCAGAAAGTCCGGCACTTATATTTCACCTTGACTTCCAGCGAAGTCTGCCTGCCCACTTTGCCCATTCCTGTGTGTCCTCCCTTTCCAATATTGCCTCAACCGTATACCACTCCCTAGCCAGCTCTTCGTTAGAAGCCATTCTATGTACATAGCTATGACAAGCACGGCACAGCCAAGCAACTTGGTTCAAATCACGTTCCTCATGCCATCCACGCTTCAGAGCCTTGCTGTGAACAGCCTTGGGTATAAGATGGTGATATGTCAAGGGTATCCAATCCCGTTCACAAATCTCGCAAGCAGAAGTTCTGGTAGCACTGAAAGGAGGTGGCTTTGCAGTAACAGTAGAGGAATATTCCATGAATACAGAAGAGAGCATGGCTGTAAGGTCAGAAGCCTCTGACATTAAGCCGTAGGCGACCAGAGACTCAGATACTGATTGATCGACCAAGAAGGCTAGAAAATCGATAGTATTTCCTGAGATACATTCTGCATAAGTGTCTGCAAGAACGGGGGAAGACTGTATGGCGTTGTAAGAGAGAGTCTGCACTTCTTCTGGAAACGACCTGAATATCTCTTGGGCAATGAACTAGTGGTACCCTTTTAAGTCACTGCAACACGGGATACTCAAAGAAGTTCTCATATCAGTTGGGTCACATACATCAATAAATTCCGCTAGTTCAGCAGGATCATTATCATCTGGAAACGAGGTATTGTTAAAGCTTGTACGGGCATTGCGTTTTCTGTTTCGCTTCCGTCGAGCCATGCCAGATCTCTCCATAGAGCGGCTCAAAATCGATTTCGAGACACATTCGCGGAATATTCCATAGTTTTCCTTGGCTTCATCTCTGATTAAGCTCGTCATGACGGCGGATGGATATGACAACTTCCAGGGGCTGTTGATGGCAGGATACCAAGAGGGATGTTTGTATACATTTCAACTGCCTCCTACGGTGGAAACAGGGGAAATATATAGCAGTTCCGTCAGATATCATCTAACTCCCATTGCATTAGAGTTAGCCCATGGCCTACTCCTTTTGCTGCCAGTGAGGTTGATATCCGACCTTGTTTTGGGTCTCCGACGTTGATTCTTGAGGTTTGATAGCCAGGCGAAATACGAGAGACGGGCTTAGTCATCCGCCACTCTGCTGCAACGGTTGCCTGGAAAAGCCATAAGAATAGCGGTGATAGTTGGAATGTTGGTTCATCATATTGAGTCAAAGATAATTAGAGCCGACCGAGTCAGGATGACATGTTCAATTTTACGTGGCTTCTTTTCTTTGGCAGAAGATACTATTAGCAGCAACCAAAGCCGACTCAAAGAAGAACAAGCCGTGCTGGTTAAGCTGATGAGCAAGTGCTAACTGAATACTCCGTAAGCATTATGGTTGCTATCAAGCGCAAGGATGTTGATCTTTGATGGCCTTTCTAAGGCTCTGTTTCAGTATTAACGGATATATCTAAGCGTAAGCTAGCTGGTAGGCAAATCATGGATGTTCCGCTGTTAAAAATTTCCGACGATTTTCATAACGCAGAAAGCTTCGGGGTAAGTCAGCGAAGAAATATTCTATCCTTCAATTTCCCCTCCAAGCCAATCCATTGAACGGGACGTCAGAGTGAATATGAAGGAAAACAGTTTTATGTATGGAGGAAAAAAGGGAAGAAAAACAATTAAAATTTGGCGAAGCAAAAATGCCTTTTATGGGCCGCTTCACGTGACACAATAGTTTAGGTAACTGACTAGTTGTCCGCGTCTTCGTCATCCAGCTGACAGCCAAACGTCGTTAGTTACAACTACTAACGAGCGGCGGATGTAGTCGAAGGCGAAGACGAAGAGGATTGTGATGAGAGAGCTCACTCCAGGCTCGAGCGAACCAACAATAACAGCCAAGTAGAGTGCACAGGATTTTTCTCCAGGATGCCTAAGCTGCTTAGCTTTAGAAGTGCCACCTGGATCTACCCCCTACAGGTCAGTCGAGTACTGTACCCAGGCTAGGCCGCTATCCCATGCAAACTACTAACCAACCTGGGGATACAGGGGATAGTATATTTTATCTTCCATCCTTTCCTATGGCCTCTGTTCCGGTCCCGTCTGCTGCCCATAACACTACTTTCGCTGTTCATTTACACAATCCTCTTTGTTTTCACATATCTACCGCAGGTAGCGTTTCTAGCTATCTTCCATGGCCCCGGCGCATGGGTTAACGGGGCATTCCTCGTCCTGGCAGAAGGAGCCGCGATAGTAGCAATGCTATTTGAGGCGTTCTTCGTGGATGAGGCGCAGGTCGATGTCTTTGACTCGGTGTTACTCCACGAAGCGATGAAAAGGCCGCTCGAAGATCCAACGTCGGTGTCCGATCCGGCTTCAAACACACAGCCTTCTTCCTCCTTCCGGAGCCATATTATTTCCATGATGTCCGAATCTAGATCATTGGATCTGTCGAATTATACCAACCCTCTCACTCATAAGGTCGAAGACCCTGAGAAGTGGCTTGGGAAACCACTACACACGGCCATATATGCTCCGTTCTCGTTCAGGCAGATAATAGAACTGATACTTCTGTTGCCGCTGAACTTGGTTCCAGCTATTGGAACCCCGCTCTTCTTAGTCTTGACAGGCTATCGGGCTGGCCCGTTCCATCACTGGAGGTATTTTCAGCTACGCGACTTTAACAGAAAGGAGAGGAAGGAATATATTCATAAAAGAATGCTTAGATACACCTTGTGAGTATCTATTAGTAGGGGATATGTATTCAATATCCTATTTTACTAACGTGGCCACCACTAGGTTTGGCACAATCGCACTTGTACTGCAACTCGTACCTGGGCTTTCAATGTTTTTCCTCTTGTCCACTGCTGCAGGCTCAGCACTATGGGCAAGAGATATGGAACGACGGAGATGGCTCGTGGCACTGGATGCTGCTGGTGATAACGGCCATAACGATAGGCCGTCAGAACAGTATCATGATAATCCGGTATAGATATATAATTTTTGTCAGTTTCGAGATGAATTTTTGGGTTTACCACCTAATCCCTTAATGGCTAGAATGAGTTTCAATAATATATTTGAACGGTCAGAGATTTGTCTTTAGTGATACTGCTTGGCATATACACAGCGTTGCTCTTTCAGATATTTCAGTGATAAATTTATTAGTGGGATAGAATGAGATAAGTAAACTTGCTAAGAAATTCTAGGGGACGTGAAGAGAGAATGAAACGAAAGTTATGAGTTATAAGCCAGCCAATACATCGAACATGATATCACAAAGGGGCAGGCCGGAATACCCAGTTGGGGAAGAGTGCTATTTCCAGACTCTGCACTGCCGTTGACGCCTTTTATGGCTCTATTGGTATGAGTTCAATGCCAGTCGGGGCTGGGGCCTCGTCCGTGACTGGAATTACAACGAGAGGATTTGAGGAAGTAGTGGGGGTTTCCGTTGGCGGAGGGGCAGGAGCATAAACAGAAGTCACAGTCTGCGAAGTTGATAACTCCGACGAGGTTGTAGTGAAGGAGGGTAGGGTGTTGCTAAACGAGGTGTATATCATAGTTGGCGATTCTGTAGCAGGCTCGGTGGTAGATGGGCTACTTGTAGATAGGGAGGTAGTAGTCGAGGAGGTGGTCAACTGAACAGTTGAAGTTGACGAAGGCGAACTAGTGGTAGCTGGAGGAGTGAAGGAGCTTGAATAGAAGCCTGAAGTTACAGTGACTGATGTTGTTATCGACTGCGTAATAGTACTGAAGGATGGAAGAGTGGAGTTCCAGCCAGGGTATGCAGCAGATGTGGTGGTTGGAACAGCAGTGTAACTCGAAGTGAACCCTGTGCTGCTTGGCGGCAGGTACACTGTCTTTGTAGTTGTATTAAAGACTGTGGTGGGCCTGGATTGTTGAGAATCGGATGTCGACTGAGATAGAAGTGAAGTTGTTCCCCGTACTGAGGTGCTGCTGGACACTGGCAGGCTGGTGACTTTGATCGGAAGACTAGTTGTTGTAGTATCTGAAGGAACCGCCGTGGATATAGGCGAAGTCCTAGTGCTACTTGGTGAAGCCGTTGACATTGTTGGTTGGGTGGTAGATGGTGAAATAGTAGAGGATGTGCCAGAACTAGACGGGCTGTAAGAACTGGTGGCCGGTGCCATGGTTGGGAAGTAGTACCAGGACGAAGAATATAGATAGGAAATAGGAGGACTCCCCGTCCCAACTTCAATTGCAGGAACTTCACCGTTTTTCAAAGTCGAGGTGCTTGAAGTAGCAGGTGCAGAAGTAGTAGTGTCCGCAGCCTTATTAGAGTGGGTGATCATCGGGCATGGAACTATTGAAGGGGTACCGGTGCTGCCAGCTTTTTGTAGATCCACACACATTGTAACAGGGACAGTCGAGCCAGCGACGGTCGGGGTAACTGTGAGGGTCATGACGGCTGTATTTTGTGTATGGGTTGAGTATAAGCCTCGATTAAAGAGCTCAGCTCGTCGAGGACGATGGATAGGACTGGAAGTAACCTGAGATGATAACGCGAGAGATATTATGCCCAGGATAAACCGTAGGTTGAACATCTTGGAAGCCAGCTGTTAAAGGGACCTGAAAAAAAAGGCTAGCAAGTGATCCAGAAAGAGAGATGGCAGAAGTAAGATCTATTGTAGATCCTTCTATTTGGTTAACTAAATCAAACGATAATATTATAACGAACGAGGCGCTTTGTCCCAGACAAAGTCTTGAAGATGCTATCAAAATGAAAAGTGGCGAATATACAGGTACGAGAAATGATGAAGAGAGAAAGGATTTGCTGAGGTTTAAGTATAAACATCCTAAACCAGGCCAGCAAACGAAGAAGAAAGTTATGTTCCATCGCGAAGCGCCTAGGTAAACAGCATCTCCTGGAAACATGTAGATATTTTCATTCCCCTGGAAAACAAGGGGTTCTTGTCCTTGGGTATTGTCTGAGTCCAGCGTAGGGGGTGGATGCCGTCAGTATTACTGGCTGATATATATAGGTTGGCCTCCATCTGGCCTGGAGTTGCATGAAGTCGAGATGGTCGGCGGCAAATGGTTGGATGTCCGTTCTTGATATCACTTTATCTTTAGCTTTTACTTTGCTTGCTGCGTCTCAAACATGGCGGAAGCCAATGGTAGACGCGCGCTGATTGGCCAGATCATGAAACAAACTTAATATCACGTGATGTTGTTTGGCTCTAAGCGCCGAAGAGGGAGACGACAAGCCATGAAAATGATGTAGGGGACGTGTGCTTTACTTTTCAGGAGGATGATCCATGTTGTGTCCGGTCTGAGATGCTTCATCTGTAGGGTATACTGTGCTCATGAGTGGAGTGTTTGATTATCTTTCTCCGACACGGCAAAGGGGGAAGGGATGTTCTGTCATTTCAACTGTTGCCTAGTTATTGAGAACCAAACGAAGCAGAAAGTCCAAAGACTCTGAGATGCTCCAAGGTCCGTCAATTACGTAACTAACCACGGAGCATACCCCGGGCTCGCTGGGGAAAGTACTTAACCGAGGAAGAACGCCGGTAAAGCGAGCCTTAATACCCGCGATATGAACTAGGAAAACGAAATAAAGAGGCCGGCCACCAAAAGCTGGTGGAGACGCCGTGTAACATTCGGACCATCGTGCATAATCATGGAGACGAGCAATATCTGGGGTATATATAAACCGGGATAATTTGTTAATTTTCAATTAGACGTTGAGCACTGTCAATTGAGAGCCCGGTTGGTTTATACACTTCGTGCAAGGCAGCATTGCATTTGATTTTGCTCGGGAAGCTATTCAATATAATTGCAAAGCTTGTCAAATGGCTAGGTTTTTTTATATATTCAAGGGATATACAAGGTTGAATGGGGGCATGTCAAGAAGTTCTGTAAAGTTAAATGGTGAGGAGAGCGGGCCTATATACAGACTTATATTATTTGTCCTGGATATATACAATAGATGGAAAACTGTACGGTGCAATCCATCTTCACTTCTCGTATTCACCGAAAAATAGAATAAAAAGTAAATAAGGAATAGCCGAAAATGAATATATTAATTATAGGCACAGGCCATCGTACTAGGCCTCAACCTTGAAGGCGGGTCCAATGCCTTCAAAGGCAGTGATCTGCCCCGTAACAGGAGCCTTCGAGTCACCGTAGTAGTGGAGGCGGTAAGTTCCACTCTCCAGCTTCTTCTTGTTGTCAATAGAGTAGTAGTCGTCCTCAATAGTCCATTCAAGGGTAACCTCGCTGGTTCCAATGATTGGACGCTTGCGCTTCCAGCGGTATACCAAGTTCCAGTCAAAATCGTCTCGGACGACTTCCCATCTGTTAGAGTTAGGGACCTGGCGTTCAACAGCAGTATAGGTCTTCTCCAGTCTGAAGTTGTTGCGGGGGTTGGCGCCGACGAAAGTAGTCTTGACGGTGTCGCCAGGACGGAAGGTCTTGCCCATCTCCGGACCGTTGAGAACGTCGCCGAACTTTTTGCCAATCGGGGGGTTGTCATGGACCACACCGGCAATGAAGCTAAGGGACTTCTCGGTGTTAATTGGTGGGTATGGGCCTGGGTCCGGGTGATTGTTGGAGCTTGCAGAAAGGAATGGGAGGTAGGTAAGGGTAAGGTTGACATGAGCAGCAAGTGTATTCGGACCATGGAGTGTAGAGCCGCCTTCGTAACGCTGGATGCCATACTCTTCTTCTGTTGTGACGTAGTGGGCATAAGTGTTTGATGGTGCCCCTAGAACAACGAGTGGGTTGCTCACGCCCAGGATCTCCTTTGCTTTGTCTGCAATAGCCTGCTTCCAACGACGTCCGGACATGGTGCTAACCTCGGGAGTGGCAACAATGATGAACAAGGGCCCAACACGCAAGACTTGGATGTCAATGATGTTGGCGGCCCAGGCATAGGGGAACGTGAGATCGCCGATATCAAGGAGGATTTTCTTGGGCTTCTGGCAGGCAATTTGTTCCTTGGAGGGGGCGTGTATGAAATCTCTTGCAATGCGCCAAATAGGGTTCTTCGTGCTGGGCGAATCAGTGCCGTTTTGAGTAAAGTCAAATCTTCCTGGTCCATCAGTAGTACCTCCGGCGAAAGAGTAGCCCAAAGCTGCTGAGCAAGTAGTCAAAGTCTTTTGAGGGTTAAACGGCGATGGGAATGTGTATCCATCAAAGTCTTGGTAGACATGGAAAGCCTTGACGGCAGAGTTATCTCTGATTCTCTTTGCAGAAGTGTCCATGTTCTCGTAAATTTCCTTCGCGGTGTTGTATTGACGACGTCCTATTTCGAAACAACTCTTAGTTCCTTGATCGAGTTCGCGGAAGAAGGGGCCACGTCCGTGACACTTGGCGGTGCTGCCTCCGCAGGTACTGTCTTCCTATAAAAGAGTTAGTTATCAAACTAAGAGTGATAATAATACATGCAAGATGATCGATCATACAAATTTGCAATCCAAGCCAGTATCTTCACAGAAGGGGCCCAAAGTGTTGGGAGACGTGTCTCCAACGGAAGACTGGGAGAATCCCGCAATGAAACCCTCGGCAAATCGGTCATCGCCCTTGGCAGCTCTTTCGAAAAGGTAGGCGGCGACACCCTTGTTGTCGCCCGAAACAAGTGTGTTGTTTGCGAAGAGAGAAGTTCCATGAACAGAGTAGAAGGTCAAGATACCAGTAGTCTTATCGTCCGATGCGCGATCAAACCGTATAAGACTGAGGGTTTTGTCGGTATCATACTGATATCGCTTTCTCTCCTCCTCAGGGTTAGCCAAGTAAGAGTATGGGCTTCGGTTAATGTTGCCATCGACAAGGTCTTTGGTATCAAAGCTCAGCCGGGTTGGGGTCCTAGCCTCGTGAGCTCTCTTGATAGAAAGAAGTATACCATCGACAATGGCTTGGTAGGTGGCCTTGTCAAATCCAGCACTGGGAATCTGGGGTAGCAGATAGTTGAGCCAGGCACCCGGGCCAGCATGGGAGTGGGTTCCGGACAGAGCGAGATTGTGAGATCCGTATCGAGAGTACTCTGGCCCCATGGCAGCAAGCCCCTTGAGGACACCATCTCTCACAGCTGTATCGCCAGCAGCGAGATCGGTAACGAGGTAAATAAAGGTATCATCTTGCTTGTTGGGGTTCTCGATGATAAAAGCACGAGAGTAAAGACGCTGACGAAGACCAGTTCCCTTTTGCTCAGAATCAGCAAATCCCATAAACACGATCTCTACAACCGGCCTATGGATATGATTAGATTATGCCAGGAGAGATATGCCCAAGAAATAATGAGTTCACTATACCCGGTAACATCGGCCTTTCCAATACCGACGTTGAATATGTCATCCTCCGTGGCTGACTTATCAGCGCGGGTTGACTGAAGTGGCAGAGAACGACTGAATTGATTGGCCCGGCTGGTTCCATGAAAGTTGAAAGCGAGCTGGACAGCTAAGATGACGCCCAAAAGGACGCCAAATATACCGACCACAGTGCCCGTGCGTGGTGGCATGGTTGGATTCTGTATGTTGTCCTGGAAAACCAAATTTCGAGGCCAGGAAGAGAGAGAAATAGGGGGGCTTTAAAAGCAGTTACCTGATGTTTCGAGGACCGCTGGCCTTTTTTGCCACCAGGCAAAAAGCACGTTGACTATCGCTTAAAATGCCAGGTCCTGGAAACAGCAACGAAAAGTGTTTGACTCCACGATTCAGGTCCCCTTTTATACGGGTGGGCCCAGTTGGTTCTCCAGCTGCAAACTTTCTTTTTTAGTCCCTTTTTTTTTCGACTGTTTGGACAGAAAGCTTTGCGGGGGCCGATCTTAATCAACATAAAATTGTGGGTCAAGATTGCCGTTTTCGTTTACTGTTGACGAACTCCGTGGCCGAACTGGAGATGGAAGAACGAGATATTGACTCTGGAGTCCCCGCGGTGTAGTTATTTAGCTTCAATCTAAGCAGCGGTTGCTCATGTACGGCCGGCGTGACTGTCCCAGCTCGACAGCGAGCCCCGATGCCTGTCGTGTCGGCCAGCACACCTGGTGATATCCAGATGCCTGCCAAGTTCTCTGCACGTCCTATTATGCATGGATCGGCCTGCGCACAAAAGTTGGTTTCTCAGGAGGATGGCGGAGAGAGAAGGTTGAGGTCGAAGCAGAGTTTCACTCGAGGTCGGACCGACGGGAACACGTGAAAGCGAGGCCCAGGCGCCGCCCGCTTGTAAAAGCTAATCTGCTTAGGTAAGGCGGGAATAACAATCCACGTGACTGTGATCGACAGAGATACGAGTTCGGAATAGTGGAACTTAGGTAATCGACCCCAACTGCGTTAGCCCAGTGTCATGTGACCATATGCTGCCGGGCCAAGACATCCGTAAGCGGAAAAGTTGAAGGCAGCGATGAGAAGGAGAAGCGGACGAGAAGGAGCAGCAGCAGCAGCAGCTGGCGATAGAAAGGGGGAAAGGGATGAAAAAAAAGAGTCAAGGGCAGGCAGGATGTCGCTGATCAACGAGACGCATGATTCACTTCCATGTAAGTAGTACACTGGGACTGCGCACGGCAGACAGGAAAGCAGAGGGGACTGACCGGTTTCCAGACATCGACGAGGACGTGACGCCTCAGGTGCGCGCAGAGCTCAGCAGACTCATTGACGCCGAGCTCCCTGCAGACAACCGGTCGACTCTCCATCCATCTCTGCCAGAGCTCCCGCCGACCAAGTTCTCGCCTCTGATAGAGCAGGAGCTTGAGAGAAAGGCGAGAAACGAACCCATCTCTGGTGGAATTGATCTGTCTCGATATGAAGCTCCAGAGATACCTCCTTCCTCCACAGACCCGAACGCCGACCCTGCCACCGTTATAGACGACTGGAGACAGACTCTGCGACGCGCATACGCTGCACACCTTCATCTGTCCATCAGGAAGGAGAACCTAGCTTTGCTAGAAGCCCATGGCAAGAACGCGTGGTTGATTGGCAACATGCAGTTAGAGGAGATCCTGCGACGCACTGAAAAGGAGCTGCATGATACCACTGAAGCCACGGAGGCAGTTAATCGAGAGAGGAAGCTAAGGCAAGAGAGCGTCAGGGGAGAACTAGCGGCTCTGGAAGATACATGGAGACGGGGAGTGAGCGGAACTTTGGATGTTGAGATTGCAGCTGAGAAACTCAGGAGGGACATTCTAGACATGAGGCGGCAGCAAGCACAACCCTAGCATGAGCGGTGTGCGCATATCGAGTTACAACATAAGGGCAATGCTCCAAGACGGCCACACAATACGAAAAGCCCCCTCAAAACCTGGCGTACAAGGTGCTAGGTTTTAGCGACGCAGGAGTTGTGTCAGCCCCGTTCATTAGGGGTATGTATTCTCTAGTCATGCCTGCCTGAACTTCCCAGGAATGCCGAGTCAGACCAGTGTACAGGCGAGAGACCACAGTTATCGAGCCGACATTACCCATCAATCTGCCTGTCCGTCATGAACAGGCCCTGTCATATATTAGGACCGTACTGGTATAAACAGGCTGAGAACTAGAACCAGGAATATACATGACACAATATCAACATTCGATAATGGAGATTAGTCGTTTGAACAATCTATTCCATGCCATTATATGATTGTAGCTCTTTATGTCTTCTCCTCTTCTCAACGACTAAATTTCCAGTGATGTATATCCCGTACTAGAACATCTAAGACAGACCTCTGGTTTTCGTGTCATTCGGCCTCGCTTTACAAGCTACATATTGTTTCGCTATTTACCAAAGCGCGTCTGTCGTCGCTTGTGTTATTCAAGTTTAACGAGTTTTAGCTTCCAAACGGCGCACGCACGTTCCAGCCCCCACAGCAACCAAAAAGATTCGCTCTATATAAGTCGGCTATAGAGGCGTTAGGATAACTAGAATAAGGAAGCATTGATAGTGTTATAGCTATCTTTGACTACTTTGCTGACTCAACTATAGGTAACCAGCCGGACGGCCGGCAATAGAGAAGCTGGGTGTATGTAGTATAGGGTTAGGGCTGAGGCAAGGTGTGGCAACGGGTGTGATGAAGGAACTCGCGAGGGGTCATAACAACAGAAAGCCATAATGAAGATCACTGCCATTTTTTTTTTTTTTTTCTTTTTAGAGAGCTGACTTTTTAGCTATGTTTATCAGCGGATGGATGACTTTGAGTCGGTGTGGGGGATGAGTATTTGGCGCTTAATCGCAGCTGGATTTCCGAGCGTGTTGTGTACGGAGTAAAGGCGACACGACCATGAAAAGGAGCGCCAAAGGTAGCAAGATGAGTGATCAGTGGTATTCAATCTTTGCCTGCAGCGAAGAGACGCTTATGCATCCTTCTTGCTGCTGCCGTGACATGAACTCGAGGGTGCTTCTGCATAGATCAACCCAACCAACCAGCCAACCAAAAATGAAAAACGACTCCCTGCATGACTGTTGGATGTCTTCTTCCTGCTACCAACAGGGGTTCGGGTACTCTGTAGGTAACTAACTATCGGTGAACGCTTTGCTTGATCGTCGTCCCTCATGGATTCCTCTCTATTCAGCTGGTGCCTCCGAAGCAGCAGAAGGGGAGATTGTTCTCCAGGCCATCATGATATTTGAGGCCGAACATTTGCTCCCACTCCAGCGAAATAGACAGTGAAGACTGAGCAATGACCAAGAGGTACGCAGCTGCTGCGACCTGGGAGGTTTCGGATTTTTATTCAAGTGACTCGCAGTCCCACCATGTGGCGGTTGACGCAGGCTTCGTGTGAAGACACAATAACACTCCGTAAATAGTAGCACGTCGTAACTATGTACACAGCCAGCCCAGCATAGTCGATCTGAGACATTGCTCCCCCCTCAGCCTCCATCCAGCTTGAAGGGGGAAAAAACAATCCAGCTTTCTCTTTTGCCTGGGACACCGACGGTTCTTCCGTCGATCGCTCTCGTTTCTCTTCCCATTGTATTTTCCCTATTCCTCTCTACGCGTCTCTCGTTTCTTTCATTTTATATCTTGAAAGCTCCTTTGTTGGGAGTGTTTCATCGAGAAACCTCCTCAAAACCGCCCGGGAATCCCTCACGCTGCACAGCACAGTCTTATTTTTTGCCCTTTTATTTACATTCTGGCCATGCTGGTTGATGGTGATTGTTGGTAAAAAAATAAGATGTTGGTGCCGGTGTCGATGGAGGTCGGTCGTTTTGCATCGAAGTCTGCGTCCATGACGTACCTTCTGCTCGTACTGCTTGTTGGATTTATACTACCGCAACAAGGCCAACATGCCCACGCGAGGACTCTAGCACGGCGAGACAATAGCCCTACAGATATATGCAAGCGGTGGTCTCAGCAGACAGCTATTGTCAACGGGACCCTTTACATATACGGCGGCCGATCGACGACTGATGCCAGCCAGAAGGATAACACTTGGAGTATGAATGAATATCCATCCTTTCCCTGGCTTCGGGATACCCAAGGCTAACTCAACTTGCTAGATGACAACTTCCTCACTCTGGACCTAAAGTCAAGCTGGGGAATCTCGGCCCCAAAGCTGACCGGACTTCCTCGAGGAGATAACGGCCCGCCTCCAGTCTCGAACGGCTACCTATGGAACTCCTTTAGTTCGCTCTTCCTATACGGAGGAGAGTTTTCGGATAACCCTGCAACTGAGCCCGTTGATTTTAGTCTATGGGAGTACAGCATTCCTTCGTCGTCATGGATAGAACACAAGTCACCAAAAACTTCGTCGGGAGAGAATTCTGCTGAAGCAAATATCCCTGTGCAACGATCCGCCGAGGGAGCCGGTATAAACGTCCCGGATCTAGGTAGAGGCTGGTACTTTGGAGGCCATCTAGATGGATATACCACGAAGGGCTGGTCACAGTCGATCCCTAGAGTGTATCTTAAGTCGATGATCGAATATACCTTTCCAGGACATACAAACAACGGAGTCAAAATAAACACAGATGATAAGCGCGCTGGACCGGAAGGTGTCTGGCGAAATATCACCGAAGGAGGATTACAGGACTCTGCAGGGTTTACCGAACGAGCTGATGGAGTGTTGGTATATATACCTGGTTTTGGTAAGGAAGGCATCATACTCGGCCTTGCTGGTGGTACAAATGCTACTTTTGTAGGTGACCCAATAATCTCTCTCTCCCCCCCTCTCTTTGCCCTCTTTTGCCTGTGGTTATATGGATAGATAGCTAACCTATTCGCCTAGACTCAAATGAACGTTATCGATGTGTTTGATATCGCAAGTTCAAAATGGTACAAGCAAGCTACTAGTGGGAAAACCCCGAAGATCAGGGTAAACCCATGCGCCGTCGCTGCGTCCGCAGCTGATGGAAGCAGTACTCAGGTTTACCTTTTTGGTGGGCAAAACTTGATACCCTACGGAGAACAGATTCAGTATAACGATATGTGGATTTTATCGATCCCAAGTTTCACATGGATAGAAGCTAAGACGGATGGGCAGTCTGTCCCTCCAGCCAGAGCTGGACATACGTGCAACATCTGGAACTCCCAAATTGTGGTGACGGGAGGCTATGTGGGACAAGACCTGAGCTGTGATAGCCCAGGTATATACGTATTTGATGCGTCAGAATTGACATGGAAAAACCAATATACTGCGCTCGAAGGCGGAAATGATTTGAATCAGCAGGCCTCACAGACTCGAGATAGCAGTGGTCTTGGAGGTAGCTATGGATACCGGGTCCCGAAAGTCGTCCAATCTGTGATTGGAGGCGATGAAACTGGAAAGGCAACCCAAACGGTCCCTGCTGTGGCACCAACGGATGGTCCTTTAGCCACCGGCCAGCCTCTTACATACACTGTCCTTCCAACAGCCGGTTCCGGTCCGCATGCAGGTTCACCAGGCAGCGGTAGTGACGGGCCCAACATCGCAGCAATAGTCGCGGGCGTCATTGCTGGATGTCTTGGTGTTCTGGCCATATATCTTGGCTTCGTCACCTGGCTGTACCGCCGGCGTCTAGCAATCTATAAGAGTCATCTTGCAGCCACACAACGTTCTTCAATTGGGAGTTACGGAGATAAAATATCGTCATTTCCGCCGCGGTACTCGGACCACATGAGCAGCAGTGGACTGGGGACAACCGGCTCAACGGGTAATTTAACGGTAACTACAGCACGCATGTCATGGATAAGCGGAGACAACCAGCGACACAACCACACCAGAAGCAGCAGTGGTGGGAACTTTGATCATTTAGCCCAGCCCGAAAGACCATCTACCAGTAGTAGTGTGGAGGACCTACTGGCTGGGCAGGAACCAACTTTCCTGGGCGTCATGTTAAACCCACGACAGACCCTGAGGGTTATCAATCAGTGATATTTCCCCTCAAATGTTCCTCTCCCTTTTCCTATTAACACTAGGTCTTTGGCCCAGAAATCTATGAATCTTATGGGGAGAATATACGATCACCAGATCCGAATGATAATGTATGACAGTTGCCAAGCATGTTTCGTTCCATAGTTACTTGATACCCTATAATCTACCCTGTCTTTCTGCCAGATACTGTAACTGTTTATGATTTATTGGTTGTGTGTTCTTGTACTTCAATCAATTTCGCGTGTAGATATCAATTCTCATTTAAGGGAGTAAATGGGAGCTTTCCACTCTATTAGCCACTACAGCATAATGATATATTTATATTCATGGTTTTGCATCAGAGTATGTAAGGCTCATTATGGTACCTCCGCAATCAAGTTCTAGATTATTCGATCATCATATACTCTTCTTTCAACTCGCTGCATGTCTCGTAGGATCCTTTCATATTCTCCGATTCGAACGGGTCCAGCCGGTAGAATCGTCACTGCTTGGACATAGACGGGTCGATCAGTCGATATATGGTTCTCTTTCTCGCTGCTTCTGCGATAGTCATCAGGATTCTCCTCGCGTATATATCCAAAAATATTAAGCCAAACACCTATTTGAAGGCTTGTGTGATGGGTATCTTCGAGTAGAAGATTAATGTCAACCTCTACATGAGAAACTTGAGATTCTAGCCCATGCACACTATAGTTATGCTGGAGTGTCAGGCGACCAGTGGCGGTGTTGTATTTCGAGACACTGCGCGTGTGATGTCAATATCATTGGCACTGATGTAGAACCGGATCGCACAACATACCATCCTAGGAATCGAACCTTGAAATTCACGGGATACGTTGGAATTTGCGAGAGAAATACCAGTTTCGTCGGAGCAGGACCTGGTACAGCC